AAAAACTTCAAACTTTTTTACTTCAATGCCTGGACTAATATCTTTTTTCCATTCTCGAATTTTAATCTCTTAAAATGTTACTTTATAATGGAACACCCTGTATTTCTATTAGGAATTTCTTACAAACATTTTAAACGTTTTTTCATAAAGAATAGAAAAGTGCTAAACAACAAGATCATTCAAAAAACAGTTCCTATTTGTCAATTAAATCCAAAACGAGCATCTTTTTTATTAAAAAAAAATACTCGTCTTGTTCTATTTTATCCAATAACTATTTCGTAGAACGGGGTTCTAGTCTGTAAAATATCCTTCAAAATATTAATAAACTTGACAACGTCGCATTGATCAGTGATTACGATACATTTGAACTACTAATTTTGAAATATTTCGCTCAATTTACCATATAGGTGTAATATTATAATTTTCGATAGCTTGTTTGCGTTCTGAATCATTTTTTTTACAAAAGATAACTTAAATTACATTTTTAAACATTAAAACCGGTTGGGAATAATAACAAATTCAATATCTATAACCCATTGTGTTGTGTATTATCGTTTTAATCATCACTATCACTAATTTTGTTTACAAACATTGAATTGCAGACATTCACGGTGTTATCTACGTAGTTATAATTCAGTATTGAGTTACAAGTAAGGCTCTAAAATGCACAAAAGGCTTTTAAAATTTTGCATTCTTAGTGCTTAGTTATTATCAGTTTAAAGGGGTTCTTGGATATTAAATTAAAACACCAAAACTTTGCAAATAAGAATAAAAGTACAAAATTTGATATTTTGTAAATTTTTTAAATTTGAATTTGTTATTTAAGGGAAGAATTGACGCTTTTCGGGCTAATGATTTGTATTGAATGAAAATTAGTGATTTGCAAGTTATTGGATTCGCTTTTTTAGTAAATCTGTCCAATACCAAGACAAAAATAACAAAATTTATAATAACTGATAATTTTTAAAAAATATATCAGTAGTTGTACCTTCATTACTATTTTTAAAATATCAGAGTGGTAAATGCATTGCCCAAAGATTTGGTATTAATAAAAATGAGGAAAGATAGATAGTTTATTTGAAAATTAATGATAGCAGGAGATAAACCCCAATATAACATCATAAATCGGTGAGAATTGTTTGTTACAAAATAAAATACCAATTAAAAAAGGAAGAAAATAGGAAAGACATTTTCAAATAGTTTTGGCAACTGACATGGCTGGAAAAAAATATGTTTTTGCAAGTAAAACGATCAAGGTATAGGACTAATATAGGAAAGCTTTATAATAATATTTCTTTTGCTTAAAGAGTGAACAAATAAGTGTTTGCAAAATGATGTTCGATTAAAAACTTGGGAGTCTCTGTCAGAACCATCTCAGAATAGATAAAAAAAGATATATCTAATCCTGTACGAAAAACTGGCGATGATGATGTTGAAAAAGAAAATAATATGACAGTTTTTATATTTTATGGAATATATCCGTTATTTACGTTTGGAGAAGAAATTTGTTCAAATAAAAGTTGTTTGTTATATAATTCTCTATAATTCTTGTCCTATATATAATTTCTCTAAAATGGACCGTATTCGAGATATTTGGGAAAAAGTGTAAATTTCGAATTTTGAAGAAAACTCAAAAACGGATGAAAAGAAAAACTTCAAATTTCAAATTTAAGATTTATTCTGGCCTGCGGTGATCTGATTAGATTTTGAGCAGTGTCGGAACATCTGGGGGATGCTTTATAGGGGGTCGTTTTTATATTTTATGGAATATCTTCGTTATTTATGTTTGGAGAAGAAAATTGTTCAAATAAAAGTTACTTCTTATATTCTCTATAATTTTTGTTTTATACAAAATTTTCCTAAAATGGCCCGTATTCGAGAAATTTAACAAAATGTTCAAAATTCTGATTTTTAAGAAAATTTTTAAACCAAAAGTTATTTACGAATATAAACGAGTCAAAAGAAGGACTTTACACATGAGTTGCATACAATATTGTTTCTACTACCCTACACATCATCCACTAATATTAGAAACATAAAAGTTACTTTTTTCCACTTTACACACTAGTGAAAAAAAGTACAACTTTACGTATTCCACTTTTACGCACTTAACGCATTTACGCACGGTAGTAGAAACCGTAAAGTATATACTTTACGCACGGTAGTAGAAAAAATATCTTCTGAAACCATTTTCTTACAGGTTGTTCCCAACAAGTCCCACAACAAATTTTTTTAATGGACTATTAGAAAATTATCGATTTTGCTAAAAAAAAATTAATCGAATATTTTCGAATAGATATAACCCCCCAAGAAAATATATTTGTACGCCTATGTTGAATTAATAAATTGTTTACTATTATTAAAATTAATTAAACATTTTTTCTTTATTTTTCACCGTCACATGGAATTTAAAAACGTTTGAAGCATTTAATTTATTTATTGTCACTACTTTCCCCCATATTTGCATCTTCATCGTTATATTTCTCTTAAACACTCGGACATTTTGTTTAAAATTAATGATCGTGTGATTAAAACCAAAATACACAAATTTTTCTAAATCTAATTATTAATTTTGCACGGTTGTCAGATTTTCTTTATGATAAACCATTCTACAAACTTTACATTTAACGATCTATATAACAAGTGCAAGTTTTGTCGTTTTGTACTGATCTGATGGACCCATCAGAAGATATTTCGAAAATTTTCAAAATGTCTTCTGCCATTGGTCAAAGCAAAAGCAACCTGATGATAAGCGTAATATTTTGCGGTATTTAAGAATTTTTATTTGCAATTTCATTTTGTTTTTTTTTTGGGTTATACAAATAGATGTCGCCGTTCGAAAAATCGAGAAAAGTTTCTGCAAATAAAACTGAAAAAAAAAAAATATTTAAAATTTTAGTGTAAAGTAGAATCAGAAGTATTGTAAAGTCAGTATTAGATGATGACAACGAAGTATATTGAAAATCAGTGAGATAATTCATGGAAAATTCCTAACAATATAAAATTATCAGATCCAACTTTTTATCAATTAGATGTTTAAAGCAATTAGAGTTAGATGATTTGAGAGAGTTTCCAGATGCTTCAAAGATCATTTTACATGATTTCTATGTAGACGATCTGTTATCAGGTACCAATAATGTGAAAAAAGGAGTTGAAATATTTAGTTAAAGTGTCAGAAATCTTGAAATTGTGTTGAGGAAATGGATTTCTAATTGTTTTCCCAATAGAATGGAAAAATTTATCGATATATCCGTAAATTTCGGAAAAAAATATACATTTGGCAACTATGTTACCAAAAAAGATATAGTCCAGGCAATGAAGCACTAAAAACGCCAAAAGTTCGGAATTTTTTAGTCAAAAACGCATTTTTTGACACGACTTTTGGAAGATTAAAGAACTTTGTAAATAAGAGTCAGAACTGGCCCATATCGGAATCCCGAAGGTTTTCGAGGTCGCTGTTCACGATTATGATGTTCAAATTGATCCACAGGCGACTTCTGGCAAAGGAACGCCAATGAAAGACATCTCCTGAATCGGTGAATTCAAATATGGCATCGTCGAACACCTTCCGGACACCTGGTGTGCCGGAACCTGGACGTGGTCGTCATCCCCGAGAATTTTCCTGACAAGATCACCAAAAACAACCGGAAAATCATTGTAGGGGCGTTTTTTAAGCGCTTAATCCAAATTTCACGTCGACAACGATCCCGTGAACACCTGGTGCACCGGAACCTGGACCTCATCTCCGTGGATTTTCCTTACACAATCGAAAAAAACGAACAGAAAATCGTTATATGGGGTTTTTTGAGGAGCTGAATTCAAATGTGGCATCGGCGAACATCCTCCGGATACCTGGTGCGCCCGAACGTGGACGCCATCCCCAAGAATTTTCCTAATAAGATCACCAAAAACAACCCGAAAATCATTGTAGGAGCGTTTTTAAGCGCTTAATCAAAATTTCACGTCGAAAACGATCCCCCAAACACCTAGTGCACCGGAACCATGGCATGAATGTCGTCTCCGAGAGTTTTCCTCACACAATCGTTATGGGGTTTTTTTGGTGCTTTGAATCTGAATTTCATGTCGAAAATGGCTCTCCCTAACACCTGGTGCACCAGAACCTTTATCTTAGGAGTTCAGGGGCTCGTTTTCGACGTGAAATTCGGATTCAGCGCCCCAAAAAAACTCCCATAACGATTTTGAGTTCATTTGTGTAAGAAAACCCCTCGGACACGACGTTCAGGGCCAGATTACGGTGCACTTGGTGTTCGGGGATCGTTTACGACGTGAAATTTGAATTAAGCGCCCAAGAAACGCCCCTAGAATGATTTTCAGGTGGGTTTTGGCGATCTTGTCACGAAAATTTTCGGGGAAGACGTCCATGTTCAGGTTTGGGAGCGCCAGGTATCCGGTATTTGAATTAAGTGCCCCAAAAAACCCCATAATGATTTTCAGTACGTCTTTTTTGATTGTGTGAGGAAAACTCATGGAGATGAGGTCCAGGTTCCGGTTCACCAGGTGTTGGGCGGGTCGTTTTTAACGTAAAATTCGGATTTAGCGCCCCAAAAAAACCCCATAACGATTTTGAGTTCGTTTTCTTCGATTATATAAGGAAACCCATCGGAGACGACGTCCAGGTTTGGGCGCACCAGGTATCCACATTTCAATTCAGTGCCCCAAAAAACCCCATAACGATTTTGGGTTCGTTTTCTTCGATTGTATAAGGAAACCCCTCGGAGACGACGTCCAGGTTTGGGCGCACCAGGTATCCACATTTGAATTCAGTGCCCAAAAAAACCACCCTTAACGATTTTTAGTACGTCTTTTTAGATTGTGTGAGGAAAACTCACGGAGATGAGGTCCGCGTCCAGGTTCCGATGCACCACAGAGGGTCATTTTCGACGTGAAATTTGAATTTAGCGCCTCGAAAAAGCCCCATAAAGATTTTGTGCTTGTTTTCTTCAATTGTGTATGGATAACCCAAGAAGACGACGTCCAGGTTTGGGCGCACCAGGTATCCGGGGTATATTACAAAGTAAAGTATGTTATAAAATAAAGAATACTGTACTAAAAACAATACTTCTGATTCTTCTGATTCCACTTTACACACCAAAATACTAAATACCTAACTATTTTAATGACCCAAAAATCTACCTATCAGTATCCTCGAATATAACTCCAAACAATGTAAATTATGAAATAATCTGTTTTTTTTTTTTTTGAAAAAAATTTTTCTCGATTTTTCAAAAGAGTCGTAACTTTTTTTATTTTACATTTTATACGAGACCTAAGTTGTTGTCGTAGTGGGATATTGAAACATGGTTCCGCACGCTAGACCTGCTGATCTGACGGCCGGTCTTGGGGGTAGTTGAGGCGTCGCTTGACTAGGTGCCGCTTCCGGCATGAATCTCGGCGAGATATTCGGCGGTTGAGCTGATAATGGTATGCTAAAATATATATGTATATATAAGAAATTGATAATAAATATAAAAAAAGTATGTGGAATTGAAATTTTTGGAAATTATAAAAAAATGTTTCGTATGTAATCAAAGTGAGTTTAATTTTAAAATTTTTATAAGAATATTGAATTGTAAGTTCTTCCTAATTAATTTTTATTAATTTCCATTAATTTCGACTAATTTTCTATTAATTTCCATTAAATTTCTATTCATTTCTATTAATTTTAATTAAATTTCTATTCATTTCTATTAATTTCCATTAAATTCTAATAATTTCTAGTAATTTTCATAATTTCCATTAATTTCTTATTGATTTCTTTTAATTTCCAATAAATTTCTAATAAATTTCCAATAAATTTCCAATAAATTTCTAATAAATTTCTAATAAATTTCTAATAAATTTCTAATAAATTTCTATCAATTTCCATTACTCACCTGGTCCCTCCGTTGTGATGAGCGGCATGTTGCCCGGGTTGAGGATGCAGGGATGCGTGCCTTCTCATGTGTAACTGCGAAGTGCTGGTGGGATGCAATCTCGGAAGCGTGTTGGGTCCCAAATTCGGTAATGCGTTTACGGAGTGATGCGAGAAGGAATGAGAATGCGAGTGGGAATGGGAGTGAGCGCTAGGAGACGCCCCGGGTTCCCTTCGCGGTGGTAGAGGAGGCGGAGAACAATCTCTGAAGGGTAAGGAGACGTCTCGCGGAGGCAGAATGGGAGCGTCTGGCGCCTGTTTCATCTAAAAAAAAAATGTTACATAATTTTGGGCATAGTCGGAACATCTGAGGAGGCAGTTTTTATACTTTGTGGAATATATATGTTATTTACACTTGGAGAAGAAAATTCTTCAAATAAAAGTTGTTTGCAATGTTATTCCCTATAATCTTTGTATTATACAAAATTTTCCTAAAATGCACCGTATTCGAAAAAATTGACAAAAACTGAAATTTTTGAAAAAAATACGTTATAACTTACTTGTTGAGGCGAACTTATTTCCGTACTATCCCTTCTCCTCCTCGGAGGCAAAGGCGGCGGAGTGGGAGGCGGATTCGACGACAAACGAGGACTAATAGGTTCGATAGGCAGATGCGGCCCAGGAGACACCGGACTGTGCGGACCAGGACTGTTCGGACCACCAGTAGAACTCTGACTGTTGTGACTGTACCTCTGAGGCCTGTATTAAAGAAGAAATTACTATATCAACAGGAAAAATAATATTTTTTTGAAGAATAAGAGACTGAAAATGAAGTTTTATTAATTACCGAACTTTTAGAGTTACTAGAGGTAATAGGAAAACTTATAGAAGAAATTTATTATATAAAAGTTGATTAATTAGTAATAAAAGTTAAAAATGGCGACATATTCACTGTCAAAGATGGTCCTGGGCTTACGAATTCAAGATTAACTAGTTTTCAGTCACGTAGACATGTAAGAATCTCTTTCTTTTGAACGATACAAAATTCCAGACAAGTCTGTGCTTCGATAGAAGACAAACGTGCTTTCATTCTTGTTACATGACTCACTTAAAGATAATAATAAATAGAAAATTCACTTAATATACTTACACCGAAGGTGGCATAACCACCCATAACGATTTTCAGTACGTCTTTTTTGATTGTGTGAGGAAAACTCACGGAGATGATGTCCGCGTCCACGTTCCGGTGCACCAGGTGTTCAGAGGGTCATTTTCGATGTGAAATTTGAATTCAGCGCCCTAAAAAACTCCCTATAACGATTGTGTGAGGAAAATCCTCGGAGATGACGTCCAAGTTTGGGTGCACCAGGTATCCGGGGAGTGTTCGCCGATGCCACATTTGAATTCAGTGCCCTAAAAAACCCCTCGTAACGATTTTGGGTCCGTCTTCTTCGATTGTGCGAGTAAAACCCTCGGAGATGACGTCCAAGTTTGGGTGCACCAGGTATCCGGCGGGTGTACGACGATGCCACATTTGATTTCAGTGCCCAAAAAACCACCCATAACGATTTTCAGTACGTCTTCTTCGATTGTGCGAGTAAAACCCTCGGAGACGACGTCCAAGTTTAGGTGTACCAGGTATCCGGGTGGTGTTCGACGATGCCACATTTGATTTCAGTGCCCAAAAAACCACCCATAACGATTTTCAGTACGTCTTTTTCGATTGTGTGAGGAAAACTCACGGAGATGAGGTCCGCGTCCAGGTTCCGGTGCACCAAGTGTTCAGGGGGCCATTTTCGATGTGAAATTTGAATTCAGCGCCACAAAAAAAAAACCCTTATAACGATTGGGTGAGGAAAATCCTCGGAGATGACGTTTAAGTTTGGGTGCACCAGGTATCCGGGGGGTGTTCGCCGATGCCACATTTGATTTCAGTTCCCAAAAAACCCTTGTAACGAATTTGGGTTCGTCTTTTCCGATTGTGTGAGTAAAACCCTCGGAGACGACGTCCAAGTTTGGGTGCACCAGGTATTCGGGGGGTGTTCGTCGATGCCACATTTGATTTCAGTGCCCAAAAAAACCACCCATAAAGATTTTTAGTACGTCTTTTTCGATTGTGTGAGGAAAACTCACGGAGATGAGGTCCACGTCCAGGTTCCCGTGCACCAAGTGTTCAGAGGGTCATTTTCGATGTGAAATTTGAATTCAGCGCCCCAAAAAAAACCCTTATAACGATTGGGTGAGGAAAATCCTCGGAGATGACGTCCAAGTTTGGGTGCACCAGGTATCCGGGGGGTGTTCGCCGATGCCACATTTGATTTCAGTTCCCAAAAAACCCTTGTAACGATTTTGGGTTCGTCTTTTTCGATTGTGGAAGTAAAACCCTCGGAGACGACGTCCAAGTTTGGGTGCACCAGGTATTCGGGGGGTGTTCGCCGATGCCACATTTGATTTCAGTGCCCAAAAAAACCACCCATAACGATTTTCAGTACGTCTTTTTCGATTGTGTGAGGAAAACTCACGGAGATGAGGTCCGCGTCCAGGTTCCGGTGCACCAAGTGTTCAGGGGGCCATTTTCGATGTGAAATTTGAATTCAGCGCCCCAAAAAAAACCCTTATAACGATTGGGTGAGGAAAATCCTCGGAGATGACGTCCAAGTTTGGGTGCACTAGGTATCCGGGGGGTGTTCGCCGATGCCACATTTGAATTCAGTGTCCTAAAAAACCCCTCGTAACGATTTTGAGCCCGTCTTCTTCGATTGTGCGAGTAAAACCCTCGGAGACGACGTCCAGGTTCGGGCGCACCAGGTATCCGGAGGATGTACGCCAATGCCACATTTGATTTCAGTGCCCAAAAAAACCACCCATAAAGATTTTTAGTACGTCTTTTTCGATTGTGTGAGGAAAACTCACGGAGATGAGGTCCGCGTCCAGGTTCCGGTGCACCAAGTGTTCAGGGGGCCATTTTCGATGTGAAATTTGAATTCAGCGCCCCAAAAAAAAACCCTATAACGATTGTGTGAGGAAAATCCTCGGAGATGACGTCCAAGTTTGAGTGCACTAGGTATCCGGGGGGTGTTCGCCGATGCCACATTTGAATTCAGTGCTCCAAAAAACCCTTGTAACGATTTTGGGTTCGTCTTCTTCGATTGTGCGAGTAAAACCCTCGGAGACGACGTCCAAGTTTAGGTGCACCAGGTATCCGGGAGGTTGTTCGTCGATGCCACATTTAATTTCAGTGCCCGAAAAAAACACCCATAACCATTTTCAGTACGTCTTTTTCGATTGTGTGAGGAAAACTCACGGAGATGAGGTCCGCGTTCAGGAACCGGTACACCAGGTGTTCAGGGGGTCATTTTCGACATGAAATTTGAATTCAGAGCCCCAAAAAACCAACACTCACTTAATATATTCAAGGCAAAAGTTGAATTCTTAGTGATAAAACTTAAAAATGGCGACATATTCACTGCCAAAGATAGTCCTGGGCTCGCGAACTTAAGCCTAACTAGTTTTCAGTCACGTAGACATTACGATACAAAATTCCAGACAAGTTTGCGCTTCGATATAAGTCAAACGTGCTCTCATCTTAAAGATTAATAAATAGAAAATTCACTTAATATACTTACACCGAAGGTGGCATCTGCTCGGCTCTGGTCGGTCTAAAAGAAGTAGTAGAAATAATCGAACTGACACTGGGACTCCTAGTATGATTAAACCAGTTCATAATACCACTAGAAGCTGAAGGAGAAACCGGACTAAGTGTCGGACTGTTTTGTCCCGTACCCAATTGAACCTTTAATAAAAATCAAATTACGAAACATAACTTATCTTTTTTTACACACACTTACTGGTGCAAACACACTGAAATCATTCTCGGACTTTGAAGAATCTTCACTTTTCGAATCGTCGCTTTTTAGAGTCGAACTCAACGTTTGATTTATGGTGTTTGCGACAGCGTTTGGAACATTCTTTACTATTTTGACGGTCTTAATGCCGGGGCTCTTCAAATTTAAGTGCGGCCATTTTCTAGGAAATTTCGGTACGATCCGGCATCGCCTCGGTTCGATTTCCAGTGATTTTTGGTATAAGTAGTTGCTTATTTCGGTGTCGTTGATGTCTCCGAATGGATTTAAGGTTTCCAAAAAATGCTATAGATAAAAAAAAAACATCTTTATGGCAGAAATAATTGTGTGATTACTAAATATAGTACGGTAGAGAGAATATTTGACAGTCAGGAGCGGGGAATGAGGGGAATTAATGCAGTAGTAGACGACACAAAACTCCAGACGAGTCTGTTCTTTGATGGAAGACAAACGAGCTCTCATTTAAATGGCGACAAGTTCTTTGAGCGAAGATAATAATAAATAAAAAAAAAAGTGAAATAACGTTAGAAGGGCATTATCAAATTTGATTGATAAGACAGTGGCGCAGACAGAATTTTGTATTAGAGGGGATTTAAAAAGAAAAATTGAGAGCATTTAAAAGATATATAATAAGTTTTAACCTAGTTTAACTTTTTGAATTTCAAAATTGTCTGGGACTGAGGGGGGGGGGGGGTTTAACCCTAAATTCTCCCCCTCGCTGCGCCACTGTGATAAGTTAATAAAGTTAATAACAGGCGTTCAAAATATGTAATTGGGAGAGGGGTTTTGAGTAACATTGTATATGAAAGTTTGTAATGGAATGAAGTTGTAATTTAATACAGGGTGTTTATTAAATTAATTTAGAAATCTAGACCAGTCGAATTAACTCGTTTAGAAGAAAATAAAATGGTGTAACTGGAGTTTGATAAGTGGAAATGGTGGAGGGGCTTATAATACGAAAGTTGACGTCAAAATCAAAAAAGTTGTAGATCAAACAAAAATCTACAGTTTTTGTACGTTTTTTTTTTACATAACCTCAAAATTTTCGATAAAAATGTCAAAATTCGTTCCAAATTTCTTTTTTTCTTTTTTTTATGTTTCATTTCTTTAAAAATAATTTAATATTGATGAAATTTGGTGAAATTATACTTTTTTATGTCTTAAATAAGCACAATTTCTGTCTATCTGAGCAGAGGCGGATCAAAGACGATTTTTCGGTTGGGGAGAGGGGAATTGCATTTTTAGCATATTTTTTTTGAATAAAATGCCTATAAATCGTAAGAATTTTCATCTCGGGGGAGGGGCTGGTCCTCATAGCCCCCGTGGAGCCGCCTTTGTGTCTGTCTGCTTATATGTCTGTATCCTCGATAATTCATGAACGAATACAAAGAAAAACATAAAATTTTAAACTTAAGCTTTATTCAGGCTTGCGGCAGAGTCGGAACATCTGGAGGGTACTTTATAGGGATTGTTTTTATATTTTATGGAATATATCAGTTATTTACATTTAAAGAAAAAAATTGTTCAAATAAAAGTTGTTTGTAATATAATTCTCTATAATTCTTATCCCCTACATAATTTCTCTAAAATGGACCGTATTCGAGATATTTGAGAAAAAGTATAAATTTCGAATTTTGAAGAAAACTCAAAAACAGATGAAAAGAAAAACTTCAAATTTTAAACTTGAGATTTATTCTGACCTGCGGTGATCTGATTAGATTTTGAGCAGTGTCGGAACATCTAGGGGGGTACTTTATATGGGGTCGTTTTTATATTTTATGGAATAAATCCGTTATTTACCTTTGGAGAAGAAAATTCTTTAAATAAAAGTTACTTCTTATATTATTTTCTATAATTTTTGTCCTATACCAAATTTCTCTAAAATGGACCTGTTATCAACCAAATCCACCCATAGTCAATAAAAATCTTAAGTTATAAAAATATAAACTCACAAAATTGTGTTTCTATTTTTATAAAATACTTATACATCATTTACTTCCCATTAAAGTTTAACGTTTTATACTTTTTAATCCATTACATGTTATGTCGCAAACTTTATTTAAATAAAAGCCCCTACGCCACTGGTATATTAATTTGGAGCAACGGAGAAAGAATATTTTAAATTAAGGCAGACTATGACTAGTCGAGGACGCTTGTGGCTTTTTCTTAGCCTATTCATACTCTACGACACTAATAATTGAAGCACCCTGTATGTTACTGTTAAATAGAACATTCTGAAAGAAAATTGTTCTGTTGGGACACCCTGTATGTTATTTTTAAATAAGACGTTTTGAAAGAAAATTGTTCTGTTAGGACACCCTGTATGTTACTTTTTGTAAAAAAAGGAAAAAACAAATTTGTAAACTTTGCAAAACAAAAATTTATAAAAAAAAAATTTTGTAAAAAAAATTTTGTAAATTTTGTAAGTAAACTTTGTAAAACAAAAAATTTATAAATAATAATTGTACATTTTCGTAAAAATTGTAAAAAAATTAAAAAAAAAAAATTTTAACAATTTTTTTTTTATTTTTTTTTTACAAAAACTTTTTTTTTTTGGCAATTTTTTTTTACATTTTTTTTTTGATTATTTTTTTTTTACAAAAACTACAAATTTTTAAAAACATTTTTTAACAATTTTTTTTTCACAATTTTTCTAAAAGAAAATGGTTATTTTGGGACACCCTGTATGTTATTTTTAAATAGGACATTCTGAAAAAAAATGATTGTTTTGGGCCACACTGTATGTTACTTTTAAATAGGACATTCTGTAAAAAAATTGTTGTTTTGGGACACCCTGTATGTTATTTTTAAATAAGACGTTTTGAAAGAAAATTGTTCTGTTGGGACACCCTGTATGTTACTTTTTGTAAAAAAAGGAAAAAACAAATTTGTAAACTTTGCAAAACAAAAATTTATAAAAAAAAAAATTTTGTAAAAAAAATTGTACAAAATTTTTGTAAAAATTGTAAAAAAAATTTGTAAAAAAAAAAATTTGAAAAATTTTAACTAAAAATTTTTTGAAAATTTTTTTTTAATTTTTTTTTACAAAAACTTTATTTTTTTTGGCAATTTTTTTTTACAATTTTTTTTTCACAATTTTTCTAAAAGAAAATGGTTATTTTGGGACACCCTGTATGTTATTTTTAAATAGGACATTCTGAAAGAAAATGATTGTTTTGGGCCACACTGTATGTTACTTTTAAATAGGACATTCTGTAAGAAAATGGTTGTTTTGTATGTTATTTTTAAATAAGACGTTTTGAAAGAAAATTGTTCTGTTGGGACACCCTGTATGTTACTTTTTGTAAAAAAAAGGAAAAAACAAATTTGTAAACTTTGCAAAACAAAAATTTATAAAAAAAAAATTTTGTAAAAAAAATTTGTAAAAAAAATTGTACAAAATTTTTGTAAAAATTGTAAAAAAAAATTTGTAAAAAAAAAAAATTTGAAAAAATTTTAACTAAAAATTTTTTGAAAATTTTTTTTAATTTTTTTTTTTTACAAAAACTTTTTATTTTTTTTGGCAATTTTTTTTACATTTTTTTTTGATTATTTTTTTTACAAAAACTACAAATTTTTAAAAACATTTTTTTCACAATTTTTCTAAAAGAAAATGGTTATTTTAGGACACCCTGTATGTTATTTTTAAATAGGACATTCTGAAAGAAAATGATTGTTTTGGGCCACACTGTATGTTACTTTTAAATAGGACATTATGTAAAAAAATGGTTGTTTTGGGACACCCTGTATGTTATTTTTAAATAAGACGTTTTGAAAGAAAATTGTTTCTGTTGGGACACCCTGTATGTTACTTTTTGTAAGAAAAGGAAAAAACAAATTTGTAAACTTTGCAAAACAAAAATTTATAAAAAAAAAAATTTGTAAAAAAAATTGTACAAAATTTTTGTAAAAATTGTAAAAAAAAATCTGTAAAAAAAAAAATTTGAAAAATTTTAACTAAAAATTTTTTTTTAATTTTTTTTTACAAAAACTTTATTTTTTTTGGCAATTTTTTTACAATTTTTTTTTCACAATTTTTCTAAAAGAAAATGGTTATTTTGGGACACTCTGTATGTTATTTTTAAATAGGACATTCTGAAACAAAATTATTGTTTTGGGCCACACTGTATGTTACTTTTAAATAGGACCTTCTGAAAGAAAATTGTTATTTTGGGACACCCTGTATGTTATTTTTAAATAGGACAATCTGAAAGAAAATTGTTATTTTGAGACACCCTGTATGTTACTTTTAAATAGGACGTCTAAAAGAACAAATTGTTGTTTTGGAAAACCCTGTATGTTACTTTTAAATGAGACGTTCTGAAAGAAAATGATTGTTTTAGGACACCCTGTATGTTATTTTTAAATAGACCTTCTGAAAGAAAATGATTGTTTTAGAACACCCTGTATGTTATTTTAAAATAACTTTTTGAAAGAAAATGGTTGTTTTGGGACATCCTGTATGTTACTTTTAAATAGGAGGTTCTGAAAGAAAATTGTTGTTTTGGGACAATCTGTATGTTACTTTTAAATAGGACGTTCTGAAAGAAAATGTTTGTTTTGGGACACCCTGTATACTATTATTTGTGTTAAAAATTAGTTGATTGATATATACACCAGGCCCATTAAAAGTTATCTTTTCTTGTCCAGTTAATGTTTTTTTGTGTTTATATTTATTTATTAACGAATTCCCTAAATATTAAGCATGCCATTATCTAGTAGGAACTTTTTAAACGTTACATAAAAAAGGCCACTATCAAGTAGTAACTTTTTAAAAGTTATATAAAAAAGCCACTTTCTAGTAGGAACTTTTTAAAATTAATATAAAAAAAGGCCACTATCTAGTAATAACTTTTTATTTATATCAAGCATGCCACTATCTAATAGGAACTTTTAAAACGATATATCAAGCATGCCACTATATAATAGGAACTTTTTAAACGTTATATTAAGCAAGCCACTAGCTAGTAGGAACTTTTTAAACGTTATATAAAAAAGGCCACTATATAATAGGAACTTTTTAAACGATATATCAAGCATGCCACTATTTATTAGGAACTTTTTAAATGTTATATTAAGCATGCCACTATCTAGTAGGAATTTTTTAAACGTTATATTAAGCAAGCCACTATTTAATAGTAACTTTTTTTAAAAGTTTTACATCCCATTACATCTTAATTATAAATAATTTTACTTTACCCTGATAGTGGGCTCCACGCTGAAACAATACGGCTGATTCTGATATTGCTGAATCTCTCCGGTGATTTCGGCGACTTTTCTGCGTTTGAAGAAATTGATGAGCTGCGTATTGGGGAGGAAATCCGGATTGCCTTCTTCTATGTGCAGAATATTGGTAAGATACATTCCTAAAAATGGTACGCACGGTGGATTGATCGATCTCAATTTTTCTTGGTATTTTTTGAAATGGTCGTCGTTGCGCCATTCTTCGAGAGCCTTTTTGTTTTGTTGAGTCAAAGCCTAAAGAGAAGAAATTATAGAGCCATAATAAAATAGTGGTCTATAATGAATAGATTTATAATAAATAATTAATCGATAATAGACTGTCATTTATTGTAATTAACATTGTTTAAATTTAAATTTAATTACCAGAATATGGCAGAGACGGAACATCTGGGGGGTCGTTTTTATATTTTATGAAATATATCAGTTATTTATGTTTGGAGAAAAAAATTGTTCAAATAAAAGTTATTTATAATATTATTCTCTATAATTTTTGTCTTATACAAAATTTTCCTAAAATGGACCGTATTCGAGATATTTCAGAAAAAGTGTAAATTTTGAATTTTGTAGAAAACTCGAAAACAAAGAAAAAAACATTAAATTTTAAACTTAAGCTTTATTCCAGCTTGAGATGAATTTATTAGATTTTGGGCAGAGTCGGAACATCTGGAGGGGTACTTTATGGGAGGTCGTTTTTATATTTTATGAAAAATATCAGTTATTTATGTTTGGAGAAAAAAATTCTTCAAATAAAAGTTATTTATAATATTATTCTCTATAATTTTTGTCTTATACAAAATTTTCCAAAAATGGACCGTATTCGAGATATTTGAGAAAAAGTGTAAATTTTGAATTTTGAAGAAAACTCAAAAAACGAATATAGAAAAAACATTAAATTTTAAATTTAAACTTTATTCCGGCTTGAGATGAATTGATTAGATTTTGGACAGAGTCGGAACATCTGGGGTGGTACTTTATAGGGGGTCGTTTTTATATTTTATAAAATATATCTGTTATTTACATTTAGAGAAGAAAATTCTTTAAATAAAAGTTTTTTATAATATTATTCTCTATAATTTTTATCCCTTACAAATTTTTTCCTAAAATGGTCCGTATTCGAGATATTTGAGAAAATGTGTACTTACAGCAAAAGTGAGAATCAACCTGTATACCGAAGCAGATCCCAGAGCAGACACTATTGCTAATACTCCATTAAAATTGTTTATTTCGTTTAGGACATATCATGATTTCTACGATCCTGTTCACTATGGCGATTCGTTCTTCGAAATTTTCAGCTTCCACTATGTTTTTCTCGAGCCACCTTGTAAACTAAAAATAATAAACTTTTTTACATTTTTCTTTACAAATTTTTTTTAAAAAATTTTTGTAAAAAAAAATTTTTTGTAAAAAAAAAATTTTGTAAAAAAAAATTTGTAAAAAAAAATTGTCAAAACAAAAATTCTAAACTTTGTAAAACAAAAATTTTATAAACTAAAAATTTTTTTAAAAAAAAATTGTAAAAAAATTTTGTCAAAAAAAAAATTTCTAAACTAAAACAAAAATAAAAAAAAAATTGTTAAAAAAATGTCAAAAAAAAAATTTTGCAAATAAATTTTTGTGAAAAAAAATTGTAAAAAAAAAATTTTGAAAAAAAATATTTTTGTTAAAATAAAATTTCTCCATAAAAAAATTAGTAAAAAAATTAGTAAAAAAATTAGTAAAAAAATGTGCAAAACAATGTCAAAATTTTTGTCAAAAAAAAATTGTAAACTTTGTAAAAAAAATTTTATAAAAATTTTTGTAAAAAAAAAATTTGTCAAAAAAAAATTTTATAAAAATTTTTGTAAAAAAAAAGAAATTTGTCAAAAAAAATTCTAAACTAAAACAAAAAAAAATTGTAAAAAAAATTCAAAAAAAGGATTTGAAAAAAAATGTTGATAAAAAAAATTTGTAAAAAAAATTTTGTTAAAAAAAAATAAAAAAATTACCAAATAAATTTTTGTGAAAAAAAAAAATATTTCTAAACAAAAAAAAATTGTAAACAAAATTTTTGTAAAAAAAAAATTGTCAAAAAAAGGTTTTGAAAAAAAAATTTGAAAAAAAAAAATTGTAAAAAAAAATTTGTTAAAAAGAAATTTTGAAAAAAAAAATATTTTTGTTAAAAAAAATTTTCTCTATAAAAAAAATTGTAAAAAATGTACAAAACATTTTGTCAAAATTTTTATCAAAAAAAAAATTTTGTCAAAACAAAAATTTTTGTAAAAAAAATTTTGTCAAAAAAAAATTCTAAACTAAAACAAAAAAAAATGTAAAAAAAATTGTTAAAAAAATATTTAGAAAAAAAAATTTTGATAAAAAATTTTGTTAAAAAAAATATTTTTTTTAAAAATTTTTTCAAAATTTTTTTTAGTGAATGGGTATTTTTTTTACATTTTTTTTTATATATTTTTTTTAATTTTTTATACAAAAATTTTTTTTGACAATTATTTTTTTACAAAAATTTTTTTTTTTCATTTTTTTTACAAAATTTTTTTTTACTCATGTCTTTGTTAATAGTATATCTATAGCTCTATAAATATGACATGAGTTTGGCGAGCAGTGGAAATATGAGTGAATGGAAAAAATTTTTACAAAAATAAATCATTTTTTTATAAAAATTTGTAAAAAAAAATTTTTTTCACAAATTTTTTTTACATTTTTTTTACAATTTTTTTTTTAATTTTTTTGATTTTTTTTTTACCAAAATTTTTTTTTTCACAATTTTTTATGATTATTTTAATTTTTTTGCAAAAATTTTTTTTTTGACAATTTTTTTTTTAAATTTTTTTACATTTTTTTTAAATTTTTTTTTTTTACAAAAATTTTTAGTTTATAAATTTTTTGTTTTAAAAGTTTACAAATTTTTTTTGGCAAATTTTTTTTTTTACAATTTTTTTTTTTTTATTTTTTTTTACAAATGCTAACGTTTATAGCATTAGTATGACATGCGTTTGGTGAACAGTGGAAGTATGAGTGAATGGATAAAATATTTTTTACATTTTTAAATTTTTTTTTACTATTTTTTTTTGATTTTTTCTACAAAAATATTTTTTTTTCACAATTTTTTTTTTTTTACAAAAATATATTTTTTTTACAAATTTTTTTTATTTTTTTACAATTTTTTTAATTTTTTTTTTGATTATTTTTTTTTAAATTTTTTTTTTTTATTTTTTTTGACACATGCTGTTAATAGTATATGTAGCTGTTTGACGAGCAGTGAAAGTATGACTAAATGGACAAAATAAGCACAAAAGTTTAAAAGTGTATAATAGTAACATGCATACAACATTAAAAACCAACTATTACTTACATTTGTAGTATGCTTGATCATTTTCAACAAATTCGGACTAGAAGTTTGCTTATCCTTTTTGGTCCAAACAGATCCAACCAATTCCGAAGGTTTAATCGTTCGATACAAATCGAATTCTAGAATGGTTAGTTGCCTAGCGATCTCCACCGGATGGAGCGTCAAAATTCCGTACTCGTCCTCGGAACAGTTGATATGTTTCTCGATCGGCGGCGGAGGTTCATCAAAGGCGAATTTTATGTGCCTTTGGTTGTCGTTTTCCATCTAAATATATTTAAAACAATAAAGAAACAATATAAATATGGCGAATATTTTCAAACAAAAAAACTCGATATTTTGTCTATAATTTGTTTTGTTACTTTTATATAGGACATTCTAAAAGAAAATTGTTGTTTTGGGACACCCTGTACGTTACTTTTATATAGGACATTTTGAAAGAAAATTGTGTTTTGGGACACCCTGTATGTTACTTTTAAATAGGACATTCTGAAAGAAAATTGTTTTGGGACACCCTATATGTTACTTTTAAATAGGGCCTACTGAAAGAAAATTGTTTTGGGACACCCTGTATGTAACTTTTAAATAGGATCTTTAAAAAGAAAATGGTTGTTTTGGGATACCCTGTATGTTACTTTTAAATAGGACATTCTGAAAGAAAATTGTTTTGGGACACCCTATATGTTACTTTTAAATAGGGCCTACTGAAAGAAAATAGTTGTTTTGGGACACCCTGTATGTAACTTTTAAATAGGACATTCTGAAAGAAAATTGTTGTATTGGAACACCCTATATGTTACTTTTAAATAGGGCATTCTGAAAGAAAATTGTTTTGGGACACCCTGTATGTTACTGTTAAATGGAACATAAAAAAATGATTCTTTTGGGACACTTTGTATGTTACTTTTAAATAGAATCTTCTGAAAGAAAATGGTTATTTTGGGACACCCTGTATGTTACTATTAAATGGGACATAAAAAATGGTTATTTTGGGACACCCTGTATGTTACTTTTAAATTGGACATTCTGAAAGAAAATGGTTGTTTTGGGACACCCTGTATTTTACTTTTAAATAGCACCTTCTAAAAGAAAATGGTTGTTTTGGAACACCCTATATGTTACTTTTAAATAGGGCATTCTGAAAGAAAATTGTTTTGGGACACCCTGTATGTTACTGTTAAATGGAACATAAAAAAAATGATTATTTTGGGACACCTTGTATGTTACTTTTAAATAGAATCTTCTGAAAGAAAATGGTTGTTTTGGAACACCCTATATGTTATTTTTAAATAGGGCTTTCTGAAAGAAAATTGTTGTTTTGGGACACCCTGTATGTTACTATTAAATGGGACATAAAAAAATGGTTATTTTGGGACACTTTGTATGTTACTTTTAAATAGAATCTTCTGAAAGAAAATGGTTGTTTTGGGACACCCTGTATGTTAGTTTTAAATAAGAAGTTCTGAAAGAAAATGGTTGTTTTGGGACACCCTGTATGTTACTTTTAAATAGGGACCTTCTGAAAGAAAATGGTTGTTTTGGGACACCCTGTATGTTACTTTTAAATAGGGACCTTCTGAAAGAAAATGGTTGTTTTGGGACACCCTGTATGTTACTTTTAAATAGAACGTTCTGAAAGAAAATTGTTGTTTTGGGACACCATGTATGTTAGTTTTAAATAGGAAGTTCTGAAAGCAAATGGTTGTTTTGGGACACCCTGTATGTTACTTTTAAATAGGGACCTTCTGAAAGAAAATGGTTGTTTTGGGACACCCTGTATGTTACTTTTAAATAGGGACCTTCTGAAAGAAAATGGTTGTTTTGGGACACCCTGTATGTTACTTTTAAATAGAACGTTCTGAAAGAAAATTGTTGTTTTGGGACACCATGTATGTTAGTTTTAAATAGGAAGTTCTGAAAGAAAATGGTTGTTTTGGGACACCCTGTATGTTACTTTTAAATAGGGACCTTCTGAAAGAAAATGGTTGTTTTGGGACACCCTGTATGTTACTTTTAAATAGGGACCTTCTGAAAGAAAATGGTTGTTTTGGGACACCCTGTATGTTACTTTTAAATAGAACGTTCTGAAAGAAAATTGTTGTTTTGGGACACCATGTATGTTAGTTTTAAATAGGAAGTTCTGAAAGAAAATGGTTGTTTTGGGACACCCTGTATGTTACTTTTAAATAGGGACCTTCTGAAAGAAAATGGTTGTTTTGGGACACCCTGTATGTTACTTTTAAATAGAACGTTCTGAAAGAAAATGGTTGTTTTGGGACACCCTGTATGTTAGTTTTAAATAGGAAGTTCTGAAAGAAAATGGTTGTTTTGGGACACCCTGTATGTTACTTTTAAATAGAACGTTCTGAAAGAAAATGGTTGTTTTGGGACACCCTGTATGTTACTTTTAAATAGAACGTTCTGAAAGAAAATGGTTGTTTTGGGACACCCTGTATGTTACTTTTAAATAGAACGTTCTGAAAGAAAATTGTTGTTTTGGGACACCATGTATGTTACTTTTAAATAGGGCATTCTGAAAGAAAATTGTTTTGGGACACCCTGTATGTTACTATTAAATGGGACATAAAAAATGGTTATTTTGAGACTCTTTGTATGTTACTTTTAAATAGAATCTTCTGAAAGAAAATGGTTGTTTTGGGACACCCTGTATGTTACTTTTAAATAGGGACCTTCTGAAAGAAAATGGTTGTTTTGGGACACCCTGTATGTTACTATTAAATGGGACATAAAAAATGGTTATTTTGAGACACTTTGTATGTTACTTTTAAATAGAATCTTCTGAAAGAAAATGGTTGTTTTGGGACACCCTGTATGTTACTTTTAAATAGGACCTTCTAAAAGAAAATGGTTGTTTTGGAACACCATGTATGTTACTATTAAATGGGACATAAAAAAATGGTTATTTTGGGACACTTTGTATGTTATTTTTAAATAGAATCTTCTGAAAGAAAATGGTTGTTTCGGGACATCCTGTATGTTACTTTTAAATAGAACGTTCTGAAAGAAAATTGTTGTTTTGGGACACCATGTATGTTAGTTTTAAATAGGATATTCTGAAAGAAAAAACAATAATGATATAGCAGAATTTCAAAAAGGCGCATATTTTCCAACAAAAAACTCGACATTTTGTAAAATTTTGTAAAAAAAATTATAAAAAATTGAAAAATCGTAAAAATAGGAACAAATTGTGAAAAAAAAAACAAAGAAAAATAAAAATGTAAAAAAGTCGAAAGGTATTGGAAAATAGGGGAAAAAATTTGAAAAGAAAATTGTAAAAATAATTTAAAAAAATTGTAAAGAATTTGTAAAAAAAAAATAATTGGAAAAAAATTAGAAAATGGGAAAAAATTAAAAAAATTATAAAAGAACTGAAAGGAAAATAAAAAAAATGTAAAAAAGTCGAAAGGTATTGGAAAATAAGAAAAAAAATTTGAAAAGAAAATTGTAAAAAATAAGAAAATAGGAAAAAATTAAAAAAGTAATAAAATTATAAAAGAACGGAAAGAAAAGTAGAAAAAATTTGAAAAGAAAATTGTAAAAATAGTTTAAAAAAAAAATGTAAAGAATTTGTAACAAAACGGTAAAAAAATTATTGAAAAAAATTAGAAAATGGGGAAAAAATAAAAAAAATTGTAAAAATATTAAAAAAAATGTAAAAAATTTGATAAAAAGTGCAAAAATCGAATTTTTTAAAAAAATTGTTCAAATAAAAGTTGTTTGTGATGTCATTCTCTATAATTCTTATCCTATACATAATTTTTCTAAAATGGACCGTATTCGAGATATTTGAGAAAAAGTGTAAATTTCGAATTTTGAAGTTAATTCAAAAACGGATAAAGAGAGAAGAAAAATCTTCAAATAAAAGTTATTTCTTATATTATTGTCTATAATTTTTGTCTTATACAAAATTTTCCTAAAATGGACCGTATTCGAGATATTTGAGAAAAAGTGAAAATTTCGAATTTTGAAAAAAATTCAAAAACGAATAAAGGGAAAAACACCAAATTTTAAACTTAAGCTTTATCCCGGCTTGTGGTAAACTGATTAGATTTTGGGCAGTGTCGGAACATCGGGGGGTACTTTATAGGGGGCCATTTTTATATTTTATGGAAAATATCCGTTATTTACGTTTGGAGAAAAAAATTCTTCAAATAAAAGTTACTTCTAATTTTATTCTCTATAATTTTTGTTTTATACGAAATTTTCCTAAAATGGTCCGTATTCGAGATATTTGAGAAAATTTTGAATTTTAAATAAAACTCAAAAACGGATAAATGGAAAAACCAAAAACTAGTCAAATATTAATTTTGAAAATTTTCTATAAAATACATTACACAATTTTTATATTTAAATTAAAATTAAAAATGACGGCAATTTTTTATTTTATATACTAACAAATATTAAAACACCAAATAATCTATTAAAAAAAAACTCACCTTTCTTTGAACGATCTTGATCACACTGTCCACCCATTTCCTCATACTTTTTCCATGCACGGAATCCAAAAAATTTTGAAGTTTCACCAACAGATTAGGATCCCTTTCGAAATCGTAAAAATGATGGTCCACCCAATGCCTCAACACATTTAATACTCTAAAAAAAATATAAAACTATTTTTATTTCAACCCCTTAACTTTAATGGATATAATTTGTTTTAAAAAAAAGAATAAATTTTTCTCCATTTGAAGTCAGTCAGTCAATCAATCAATCGTTCAAATCGATCAAATCGTTCAAATCAATCAAATCAATCAAATCAATCAAATCAATCAAATCAATCAAATCAATCAAATCAATCAAATCAATCAAATCAATCAAATCAATCAAATCAATCAAATCAATCAAATCAATCAAATCAATCAAATCAATCAAATCAATCAAATCAATCAAATCAATCAAATCAATCAAATCAATCAAATCAATCAAATCAATCAAATCAATCAAATCAATCAAATCAATCAAATCAATCAAATCAATCAAATCAATCAAATCAATCAAATCAATCAAATCAATCAAATCAATCAAATCAATCAAATCAATCAAATCAATCAAATCAATCAAATCAATCAAATCAATCAAATCAATCAAATCAATCAAATCAATCAAATCAATCAAATCAATCAAATCAATCAAATCAATCAAATCAATCAAATCAATCAAATCAATCAATCAAATCAATCAAATCAATCAAATCAATCAAATCAATCAAATCAATCAAATCAATCAAATCAATCAAATCAATCAAATCAATCAAATCAATCAAATCAATCAAATCAATCAAATCAATCAAATCAATCAAATCAATCAAATCAATCAAATCAATCAAATCAATCAAATCAATCAAATCAATCAAATCAATCAAATCAATCAAATCAATCAAATCAATCAAATCAATCAAATCAATCAATGAATCTTTCAATCAATCTTTCAATCAATTAATCTATTAATCAATCTTTTAATCAATCATTCTTTTAATCAATCTTTCAATCAATTAATATTTTAATCAATCAATCTTTCAATCAATTAATCTTTCAATCAATATTTCAATCAATTAATCTATTAATCAATCTTTCAATCAATTAATCAATCTTTCAATCAATCAATCTTTCAATCAATTAATATTTTAATCAATCAATCTTTCAATCAATTAATCTTTCAATCAATATTTTATTCTATCAATCAATCTTCTAATCAATCAATCTTTCAATCAAATCAATCAATGAATCTTTCAATCAATCTTTCAATCAATTAATCTATTAATCAATCTTTTAATCAATCATTCTTTTAATCAATCTTTCAATCAATTAATATTTTAATCAATCAATCTTTCAATCAATTAATCTATTAATCAATCTTTCAATCAATTAATCTATTAATCAATCTTTCAATCAATTAATCAATCTTTCAATCAATCAATCTTTCAATCAATTAATATTTTAATCAATCAATCTTTCAATCAATTAATCTTTCAATCAATATTTTATTCTATCAATCAATCTTCTAATCAATCAATCTTTCAATCAAATCAATCTATCTTTCAATCAATTAATCTTTTAATCAATCAATCTTTCAATCAATTAACCTTTCAATCAATATTTTATTCTATCAATCAATCTTTCAATTAATCAATTAATCTTTCAATCAATTAATCTATTAATCAATCTTTCAATTTTTTAATCAATCTATCAATCAATCTTTCAATCAATTAATTTATTAATCAATCTTTCAATTTTTTAATTAATCTATCAATCAATCTTTCAATCAATCTATCTTTCAATCAATCTTTCAATCAATTAATCTTTTAATCAATCAATCTTTTAATCAATATTTTATTCTATCAATCAATCAATCTTTCAATCAATCAATTTTTCAAGCAATCTATCTTTCAATCAATCAATCTATCAATCAATTAATCTTTTAATCAATTAATCTTTCAATCAATCTTTTATTCTATCAATCAATCTATAAATCAATCTTCCAATCAATCAATCAATCTTTCAATTAATCAATCTTTCAGTCAATCAATCTTTCAATCAATCAATCTTTCAGTCAATCAATCTTTCAATCGATCAATTAATCTTTCAATTGATCAATCTTTCAACCAATTAAACATACCTGAACTGCACCGGTTGGCAATACTCCTTCCTGTACTTCTTCCAATCCTCCCTTTGACTGCTCTTCTGCATTTTGTCGCTATCGCAACAATCTTGTTCGTATACTAGTGAAGGATCGGGTATCTGGAACCGTTCTATCAACAGATCCAGCAGTTCCGTGGGAGAGCAGAAGCTTCTGTACGTGGTTAGGAAAGTTCTGACGAACTTTGGGTCGGCGTAAATGTGATAAGTCAGTCTTTCAACGAGTTTGTATAAAGTTGCGCCCTGAAGAAAATGGGTTAGTTAAGATTTGGAGGTAATGAAATGAATGCGTTGTTATAAAAACGGATTCTAAAATAGTTTTAAATAAAGGTTGCACTTTTTCAAAATTTGAATCTAAAAAGTAAAAAAAAAATAAATTTTTTTTTTTACCCATTTTCTCAATTATTTTTAGAAATATCTAAATTGAATTTTGAAAAAGTAGTTTTAGAAAAGCATAGATTCAACCTTTACCTACACGTACATATTTTTTCTTTTAAAAATAGTCAAAAATAAACCTTAAAAGCGGGGTACTTTTGGAGATGTTTATATAAAAAAAGTATGTGGAAAATGTAAATATTCAGTTTATCTTCTAAAAAAAAAGCTTTTTTGAAAAAGTGATTTTAGAAAAGTATAGATTCAACCTTTACCTACAAGTACATATTTTTTTCTTTTAAAAATAATCAAAAATAAACCTTAAAAGTGGGGTACTTTTGGAGATGTGTATATATAAAAAAAGTATGTGGAAACTGTAAAAATTTAGTTTATCTTCTATAAAAAAGCTTGCAATAACTAGATAGAAAATCTCACGTGTTGGAAACATCAGATATTTATTTTATTTTAAATACATATGTTGATTTTGTACTCACTTTAATTAGAGGAACTCCACCATTTTCTCTTTGTTCGAGTATTATGTTATCTTTAGAATCCGGTTCTGCGAATTTATACAGCGACGGAGGAGGCAGTTTCAATGGATGCTTCCTTTCTATATCCGATAGGATGCTATCCAAAACTCTCTCCAACATGGACCTGAAGAGAAAGAGAAGGAATATATTAATATTAAATAATATTCATTAATATTTATTAATATCCGTTATTATTCACTAATATTCATCCAATATTCGTTATTATTCATCAATATTCACTAATATTTATCAATATTCATTAATATTCATTAATATTCATCAATATTCATTAATATTCATCAATATTCATTAATATTCATTAATATTGATCAATATTCATTATTATTCATTAATATTGATCGATATTCACTAATACTCATCTATATTCATTAATATTGATCAATATTCATTATTATTCATTAATATTGATCAATATTCATTAATACTCATCTATATTCATTAGTATTGATCAATATTCATTAATATTGCTCAATATTCATTAATATTGCTCAATATTCATTAACATTCATCAATATTCATTAACATTTATCAATATTCATTAATATTGATCAATATTCATTAATACTCATCAATATTCATTAATATTGATCAATATTCATTAATACTCATTTATATTCATTAATATTGATCAATATTCATTCATTTATTTACTGACCTGTTGTTGAGCATGACCAGATCGGCCATCCAAGAGTTCTTGTCTTCGCCGGATTTGGCACACAGAATGACAGACGGTGTCTGTCTGGGAGATATTTCGAAGGCGTGTTTAAGCTCGTCGGTGTCCTGATGATCGATTATTTCCACTTTTCTTATGAAAAATCGTTCTTTGAGCCTGCATTCGGGGTAGTTTTGATGGTGAACTGAACTCTGTCTTCTAAAATAACAAAAAAAAATTAATTTTTTAATAATTAAAGGTTAATAAAAATTAGTAAACATTGATACAATATAAGGAGAAAAATGGAAAAAAAAGAAGGGAAAAAGAGGAGGAAAAAAAGGAGGAAAAAAAGGAGGAAAAAAGGAAAAAAAATAGGAAAAATATAAGAAAAGAGGAATTTAAAAGAAAAAAAGGAAAGAAAAAGAGGGAAATGGAAAAAGGAAAATCATGAAAGAGAAAAGAAATATTAAAGAAAAGAAAAAGAATAAAAAAGTATATAAAAAAAATACAAAAAAGGTAAAAAAAAATTAAAAAAAAACAGAAAAATGGGGGAAAAAAGGAATGAAAGGTGAAAAAAAAACTGGAAAAAAAGGGGGGAAAAAGGAAAAAAAAGGGGAAAAAAGGGAAAAAAGGCAAAAAGGGAAAAAAGGGAAAAAAAGGGAAAAAGGGAAAAAGGCAAAAAAGGCAAAAAGGGAAAAAATGCAAAAAAAGGGAAAAAGAGGAAAAAAAAAAGAAAAAGTGAAAAAAGGAAAAAAAAATAGAAAAAAAAGGAAATTAAAATTAATACAGAATAATAAAAATCAAAATATTAAAAATAAAAATTATTAAAAAGCAATAAAAAATATTAACTTTATTAAAAATTAAGTTAATAAAAAATGAAAAAAATCAATAAAAATTAATGAATTAATATAAATTAATAAAACTGAATAAAAACAATTAAAAATTAATAAAAAATATTAATAAAAAGAAATGATTCATATTGATTTCCATCGATTTCTATCGATTTCTATTAATTTCCATTGATTTCCATTGGTGTCCATTGATTTCTATCGATTTCCAATGATTTCTATCGATTTCCACTGATTTCTATCGATTTCCATCGATTTCCATTGATGTCCATTGATTTCCATTGATTTCTATCGATTTCCATTGATGTCCATTGATTTCTATCGATTTCTATCGAGTTCTATCGATTTCTATCGAGTTCTATCGATTTCTATCGATTTTTTATCGATTTCTATCCATTTTTATCGATTTATATTGATTTCCATTGATTTCTATGGATTTCCATTAGTGTCCATTGATTTCCATTGGTGTCCATTGATTTCTATCGATTTATATCGATTTCCATTGATTTCTATCGATTTCCACTGATTTCCATTGATTTCTATCGATTTTTATCGATTTCTATCCATTTTTATCGATTTATATTGATTTCCATTGACTTTCATTTATTTCCATCGATTTCCATGTATTTCTATCAATTTCCATTGATTTCTATCGATTTCCATTGTTGTCAATTGATTTCTATCGATTCCTATTAATTTCCATTGATTTTCATGGATTTCTATCGATTTCCATAGATTTCTATCCATTTTATCGATTTTTATTAATTTCTATTGATTTCCATTGACTTCCATTGATTTCCATCGATTTCCATTGATTTCTATCCAATTTCCATTGATTTCTATCAATTTCCATTGATTTCTATCGATTTCCATTGTTGTCCATTGATTTCTATCGATTCCTATCGATTTCCATTGATTTTCATGGATTTCTATCGATTTCCATAGATTTCTATCCATTTTTATCGATTTCCATTGAATTCCAATGATGTCCATTGATTTCAATCGATTTTTATTGATTTCTATCGATTGTTTATTGATTTCCATCGATTTCCATTGATGTCCATTGATTTCCATCGATTGCTATCCATTTTTTATCGATTTCCATTGATTTTCATAGATGTCCATTGATTTCCAAATATTTCTATCGATTTCTATCAATTTCTATCAATTTCTATCGATTTCTATCAATTTCTATCAATTTCTATCAATTTCTATCAATTTCTATCAATTTCTATCAATTTCTATCAATTTCTATCAATTTCTATCAATTTCTATCAATTTCTATCAATTTCTATCAATTTCTATCAATTTCTATCAATTTCTATCAATTTCTATCAATTTCTATCAATTTCTATCAATTTCTATCAATTTCTATCAATTTCTATCAATTTCTATCAATTTCTATCAATTTCTATCAATTTCTATCAATTCCTATCAATTTCTATCAATTTCTATTAATTTCTATAAATTTTTGTATTTTTTTGCATTTCTTTTGTATTTTTTTTTTTGTAAAAATTTTAAATTGTCGATATAAAAAAATATATTAGTATTATTAAACACCAGTAGCGTAACAAAAAATTTTACAAATCAATTAAACCATTCCCAAAGATTATCTTAAAAACCATACACATTATACACGTTCTGTCACAGTGACATATTTTTAAAATATAGAATTTTATTTTATCAATCCCCCCACTTACCTAGAATTAGGCTTACACAGTATCATCAAACCATCAAATAGGAACACGCGTCTATCCGTCAGTCTTTTATTGTTACCCACTTTGACCAAAGTGTCTTCTCTAACGAACTCGTTACAGCATTGGCCCAAATCCCTCGAATCCCAATTTTCCACGATCTTTTCCAGATCCTGAATTTTCAACAAAGCCGCTTGTCGCCTCGCTCTGGTCTGAGGCAGAGGCGCCGAGCTCCTCGGCAGCGTTTGACTGGGCCCCACAATTACCTAAAATAGATAAACAACCAAAAATATTGGGGGGCAGAGTTAATATTAAATTTTTTTTTAGACAATCCCTTTTAAAAGAATGAGGAACCTCTTCAATACTGACCTAAAGTAATTTGTAACGGTTTCAACAATCCCTCTACTTGTGTTAAAGTCTCTTTATCCTCACTGGAAGGCGATAGATTCCTCAGGAACTTGATGTAATCCAAATACGAGAAACAATGCCATATTGGACCCATCAGAAGAGCTGGGTAAGTAGTATTTTAGAGCCAGCGGCATGCCCTGACCGGCCGTATTGAGTGCGCTCTGGACGTCCGGGCGCCGAAAGTAACGAATTTAGAGTTTCTCGACAACTTGGTGATGTTACATCGCGAGCGTATTTTATGTATACGTCGAATTCGGCGGCTTCGGCCAATTCTTTAATAAAAATTCAATGTTTAGTAATTGATTTAGGTACCTCAATTAGTTAATAAAACAATCCAGAGAGATGCCAAAACATAAAAATGTTATTACTAAGTTTATTCCCTTTGAGTGACAGTTGAAATTTCTATTTTTTTTGAGAAAAGACGGAATTTAACCCAGAAAAATTTGTAATAGTATTAAAAAAGATTCAAGTTCTGGAAATCCACATTGCTAATATAGTGAAGAAAGTCAACAGTCTTATATACCTTATCAAAAAAAGTAAAAATATAAAAAAGGGGGGAAAATGGAAAAACATGGAAAAAGAGAAAACATGAAAAAAAAAAAAGGGAAATACAGAGAAAGGAAAAAAGAAAAAAAAAATAAGAAAAGGAAAAGAAAAAAGAAAATAAAAAGACAAGAAAGTACAAAAAGAGGAAGAAAAAATGGAAAAAAGGAATAAAACGAAAAAAAAAAGGGGAAAATGGGAAAAAGGAAATAAAAGAAAAGAAAAAAAATATAAAAAAAAAGGTAAAAAAAACAAAAATGTAAAAAAATAACAAAAAAGGGAAAAAAGGAATATAATGCAAAAAAAGGGGGAAAAAAAGGGGAAAAAAGGGAGGGGAAGGGAATAAAAAGGGGGGGCAAAACAGAAAAAAAGGAGAAACGGAAAAAAGGGAAAACAAAAAGAAAAATAAAACATGGGAAAAAGGTAAAATAAAAATTAATACAATAAAAATCATTAAAAAATAATAAAAAAAAATCATTAAAAAAAATAAAAATTATTAAAATTTGTTTAAAATTAATAAAAATAAATTAAAATCAATAAAAATTAATGAAAATTATAAAAAATTATGAAAACTGTTATTTGCTTTTAATAATTGTAATTTGAGAAATTCCAGAGAAATTCCGATTTATTAATTTTTATTAATATGTATTAAAATATATTAATATATATTAATATGTATTATAATATGTATTAATATATATTAATATGTATTAATATATATTAATATGTGTTAATATTTATTATTTTTTAATATTAATATTTATTAATGTTTATTAATATTTATTATTATTTATTAATTTTTATTAATATTTATTAATTTTTATCACTTTTTATTAATTTATATTTAAAGAATAATAAAAATTAATAAGAAAAATCATTAAAAATAATAAAAATCATTAAATAATATTAAAAAACAAGAAAAATGATTTAAAAAATGAAAGAAAATGAATAAAATAGAAAAAAAAGGAGAAAAGGAAAAAAAGGAAAAAAAGGAAAAAAGGTAAAAAAAGGAAATAAAAGAAAAGACAAAAAGGAAATAAAATAAAAAATAAAAAAAGGTAAAACAATAAAAAAGAAAAAGGTAAAAATTACAAAAAAAGGGAAAAAGGAATAAAATAAAAAAAAAAAACAAAAAAAGGATAAACTGGAAAAAAAGGGAAAATGAGAGAAAAAAAAAAGAGAAAAGGGAATAAAAGAAAAAAGGGAAAAATGGAAAAAGGGAAAAGAGAAAAAAAGGAAAATAAAAATTAATACAAAACAAAAATCATTAAAAAATAATAAAAAATGTATAAAAATTAATGAAGATTAATGAAACTTTCCAGGTATCCCATAAAAAAACTTCTCTTGAATAACGAAAACTTTTATTTGCTTTTAATAATTGTGATTTGAGAAATTCCAGAGTAATTCCGATTTATTAATTTTTATTAATATGTATTAATATGTATTAATATGTATTAAAATGTATTAATATTTATTAATATGTATTAATATGTATTAATATGTATTAATATGTATTAATATGTATTAATACGTATTAATATGTATTAATGTAATATTATTTATTAATTTTTATTCCTTTTTATTAATTTCTATTTAAAGAATAATAAAAATTAATAAGAAAAAATCATTAAGTAATATTAAAAACCAAGAAAAATGATTTAAAAATGGAAGAAAAGGAATAAAATGAAAAAAAAAAAGAGAAAAAAAAGGAAAAAAGAAAAAATGGGAAAAAAAGGTAAAAAAGGGAAAAAAAAGAAAAGACAAAAAGAAAATAAAAGAAAAAATAGAAAAGAAAAAGGTAAAAAAAAAATTAAAAAAAGGGGGAAAGGGAATAAAAAGGGAATAAAAAGGGAAAAAAAAAGGAAAAAATGAAAATAAAAAATAATACAAAATAAAAATCATTAAAAAATAATAATTGTTAAAAAACAATAAAAATTATTAAAAAACAATAAAATTTATTAAAATTTGTTCAAAATTAATAAAAATAAATTAAAATCAATAAAAATCAATAAAAATTATTGAAAATTAATAAAAATGTATAAAAATTAATGAAAATTAATACAAAATATTAATAAAACTTTATCCCATAAAAAAAATTCTCTTGAATAACGAAAACTGTTATTTGTGATTTGAGAAATTCCAGAGTAATTCCGATTTATTAATTTTTATTAATATGTATTAATATTTATTAATATTTATTAATATTTATTAATATTTATTAACATTTATTAACATTTATTAATATTTATTAATATTTATTAATATTTATTAATATTTATTAATATTTATTAATATTTATTAATATTTATTAATATTTATTAATATTTATTAATATTTATTAATATTTATTAATATTTATTAATATTTATTAATATTTATTAATATTTATTAATATTTATTAATATTTATTAATATTTATTAATATTTATTAATATTTATTAATATTTATTAATATTTATTAATATTTATTATTATTTATTAAGATTTATTAATTTTTATTAATTTTTATTCCTTTTTATTTAAAGAATAATAAAAATTAATAAGAAAAAATCATTAAATAACATTAAAAAACAAGAAAAATTATTAAAATTTGTTAAAAATTAATAAAAGTTAATAAAAACATTAATAAAAATTAATACAAATGAATTAAAATTAATAAAAAACAAATAAAAATTAATAAAAAATATTAATAAAACTTATTAAAAATTAATAAAAATGAATTAATAAATAAAAACAAATCAAAATTAATGAAAAATATTAATAAAAATTAATAAAACATAATAAAAATTAATAAAATGTATAAAACTTAATGAAAATTAAAAAAATAAATTAAAATAAAAAAAAAACAAATAAAAATTAATAAAAAAAATCGAACAATGATTAATAAAACAATTTGTTGCGTCATTCAGAATAGGAGATCCTTGTGGAACACCTGATGAAGCAGTTAAGGTAATTACCAGAAATACCAATGTCTGCTAGTTTTTTAAGAAAAAAAAAACAAAGAAAAGTAAAAAAAAATAAAAAAAGTACAAACATTAATTAAATAAATGTAGGAGTGACGTGGATTTATCTTATTTAAATGACACGAAACTATTGTTTCATTTCAAAACGTATTTATAAATTTAAATTAAATAAAACAGATTTTTTTTTTAACAATATTTCGTTTTTATATCAATTTTATCGTTAAAACAATTGATTTAATTAATTCGTTTCAAAAACCATCAAAATAATCATCCAAGCACGCAACATCTTAAATTACCTTCAAAACAACTGCCAATGTACGGCATTTTCTCCTGCGCCATCTCCCGCACGTCTTCCAAACTACCAGACAGAGTATACGTCAATTCGTAAATATCCATGATATTCGAAAATATTTTTTCTATGTCTTGCGGACCGGGTTTCAATTTTATTATTTCCTCCCTAAAAAAAAAATTGAAATTAAATATTTCGTTTATATCGCGAGTTAAAGTTCAATAAAACAAAACTATTTTTCTGGTAGGCTTCGCGAAACACCCTGTAAGATGGCGCTGGTTTTTTCTGGTTAATAAACAATAGTGCACATTTTGCACATTTCGCACATTTTGCGCATTGCACATTTTGCGCATTTCGCACATTTTGCGCATTGCACATTTTGCGCATTGTACATTTTGCTCATTGATCATTTCGCATTTTGCGCATTGCACATTTTGTTCATTGCACATTTTGCGCATTGCACATTTTGCGCATTTCGCACATTTTGCGCATTTCGCACATTTTGCGCATTGCACATTTTGCGCATTGCACATTTTGCGCATTGTACATTTTGCTCATTGAACATTTCGCATTTTGCGCATTGCACATTTTGCTCATTGTACATTTTGCGCATTTCGCACATTTTGCGCATTTCACACATTTTGCGCATTACTCATTTTGCGCATTTCGCACATTTTGCTCATTGCACCTTTTGCGCATTGCACATTTTGCGCATTGCACGTTTTGCTCATTGTACATTTTGCGCATTGCACATTTTACACATTTTGCGCATTACACATTTTACACATTGCACATTTTGCTCATTGCACATTTTGCGCATTGCACATTTCGCACATTGCACATTTCGCACATTTTGCGCATTGCACATTTTGATCATTGCACATTTTGCGCATTGCACATTTCGCACATTTTGCTTATTGCACATTTCGCACATTTTGCTCATTGAACATTTCGCATTTTGCGCATTGCACATTTTGCTCATTGCACATTTTGCGCATTGCACATTTTGTGCATTGCACATTTTGCGCATTTCGCACATTTTGCGCATTGCACATTTTGCGCATTGTACATTTTGCTCATTGATCATTTCGCATTTTGCGCATTGCACATTTTGCGCATTGTACATTTTGCTCATTGAACATTTCGCATTTTGCGCATTGCACATTTTGCTCATTGTACATTTTGCGCATTTCGCACATTTTGCGCATTTCACACATTTTGCGCATTACTCATTTTGCGCATTTCGCACATTTTGCTCATTGCACCTTTTGCGCATTGCACATTTTGCGCATTGCACGTTTTGCTCATTGTACATTTTGCGCATTGCACATTTTACACATTTTGCGCATTACACATTTTACACATTGCACATTTTGCTCATTGCACATTTTGCGCATTGCACATTTCGCACATTGCACATTTCGCACATTTTGCGCATTGCACATTTTGATCATTGCACATTTTGCGCATTGCACATTTCGCACATTTTGCTTATTGCACATTTCGCACATTTTGCTCATTGAACATTTCGCATTTTGCGCATTGCACATTTTGCTCATTGCACATTTTGCGCATTGCACATTTTGTGCATTGCACATTTTGCGCATTTCGCACATTTTGCGCATTTCGCACATTTTGCGCATTGCTCATTTTGCGCATTGCACATTTCGCACATTTTGCGCATTGTACATTTTGCTCATTGAACATTTCGCACATTTTGCTCATTGAACATTTCGCATTTTGCGCATTGCACATTTTGCTCATTGCACATTTTGCGCATTTCGCACATTTTGCGCATTTCGCACATTTTGCGCATTACACATTTTGTACATTTTGCGCATTGCACGTTTTGCGCATTGCACATTTTGCGCATTGTACATTTTGCTCATTGAACATTTCGCATTTTGCGCATTGCACATTTTGCTCATTGCACATTTTACACATTTTGCGCATTGCACATTTTGCTCATTGCACATTTTGCGCATTGCACATTTAGCACATTGCACATTTCGCGCATTGCACATTTTGCGCATTGCACATTTTGCTCATTGCACATTTTGCGCATTGCACATTTAGCACATTGCACATTTCGCACATTTTGCGCATTGCACATTTTGCGCATTGCACATTTAGCACATTGCACATTTCGCACATTTTGCGCATTGCACATTTTGCACCTTGCACATTTTGAAGAAAACTGTATTAAATTAAAATTTGTAATGTTTTGCATTATTAAGAAACAAAGTTCTTTAGAGGTGTTAAAATAAATCTTCTAGAGATCTTTGTTTCTAAACAAAGCAAAACATTACAAATTTCGACCCAATACAGTTTTCTTCGTGTAAATTTCACAACAGTCTATCATTACTACGTATTAAATTACCTAAATACTTTGATTAACATATGTAGTTCTTTCAAATAAGCTTTTTCTGAGGCGATAAGTTCTCGAACAGTTTCTTCATAGGTTAAACTAGTTCTGGGTGCCGTTGATAACATTACCGGATTTTCGTTTAAACTACTAGTACCTCCACCTTCATCCTGGTAGAACATATCCATAAGAGCCTATAATAGAAAATTACAATTGTTACAATAGTATTACGAGGTACGTCAAATAATACGAATTTTGCTGAAGAGTATTGTTAAATTTGACAAACCTCGTACATGACTGATAAATTTTGGTATCAGATGATTCAATTTCCGGTTTTAGGTCATAAAGAATTTTTTATGAAGAATAACTTTTTTTCGTAAAGTTAATAATAAAAAAAATTTCAATATGCCGACACTGCACGGTTTAAAACATGAACTACAACTATATTATTTGACATACCTCGTATACTATTATAAAAATTTGAAATCTGCTTGTTACATTTTAGGTTTCAGACCATGCAGATTTTTTTATGAAGAATAACTTTTTTTGTAAAATTAATAATAAAACAAGTAGATAGACTAGAGGGCTCCTAGACCACATAGGGAATTCAACGTGTAAGAGTGAGAGGTACATATTCAATGAATAAGAGTAAGACTAACGGTCTGAGGGGAAAACGGGGTAGTGGGGAATTAAATTTCTTTTAACGTCGAACAGAAAAATCATGCGCAGAACGAAAAGCCACAAGGGCCTTAGCGTGTATCTCAGCTATTGTTGATCCGATCAAACGGGAAAAACGGCATTACATAGAGAACGTGGTATAGATTAACGTTGAACAGAATTTTTGCGCAGAACGAAAAGCCACAAGGGCCTTAGCGTGTTTCTCGGACATTAATAGTCCAATTCAAACAGGAAAAATGGCATTGCGTAGAGAACGTGATATAAATTAATGTCGAATAGAAAAATCATGCACAGAACGAAAAGCCAGAAGGGCCTTAGCGTGTATCTTCACGGCTATTGATCCGATTCAAACGGGAAAAAACGGCATTATGTAGAGAACACCGAAACGTTTCACGTTTGACGTTTCTGCTAGTATCAAGGGTAAAGTACTAGAATAACTACTACAATCGGGTTGGCCGAGGGGTCTAAGGTAGCCAAAAGGATCTAAGTATCTGCGGCATGTCACCAGGAGTCACCACGGCTTACCAAATGCAAACACATTTCAAGACATCAGTAGAACCGGCACTAAGAGCAGCGCTCCTGCACACGCGGACCCAAAGCGACACTCCACAAACACCGAATGAGCAACAGACGAAAAGACAGACAGACAAGAGGACAGGCTGACGGAAGGAGACAAATATACAGCAAAAGATAAAATCATAGAAATTCGTATAAATTGGCATTATATCGATGAGTAAGTAAACAATGCGATGCAGCTGTCAAAATGATAGGAAGGGGGAAGCCAGAAAGGCCTAAACTTTGGAGGAACACTGAAGAATACTTAGAAATCATACAAAGAGCAGTGAAGACCTAAGAAGAACAAGAAACCACTGAAGAAGAGGGAGAGCGAAACCTGAAAAAGGGGGACAGACTGTCGGATATTCGTAGGAAATCAAAGAAATCCATGGAAAATCATAAGCAACCTCCTTAAAATTTGTTACGAGGACCCAAACGTTGGAGGAACATTGAATAATACTTATAAATCATGTAGAGAGCAGTTCAGGCCTAAGACGAAGAACAAAAAACAACTGAAGAAGCTGCTGAAGTCATCGAAGAGGAGTGAAACTTTAAAAGGGCGTAGAAAATCACAAAAAAAAAGAATGGAGAAACATAGAAATCTTTAAAGAGTAATAGCTGCTGCATTGTCAAAGGGGCCGTAGTTTGTTAGTATAAAAAATGTAATAAACAAGGAGTAGAGGAGACATTACTTCTCTGGATCTCTGTCAATGAATACGGGAAGGTAGCAGTCAAAAGTTCAGTTTTGAGAATAAGTCTAAGAAGAACGCGTGTTGTTATTGCAGTTATACATTATCGTCGTTTTCTTATTACTTACAAGTACAATAAAAATACTCTACGTTCAATGTCGATGGTTATTAATAAAAAGGTAACAAAATGCTATTCGTCCATTATCGTATGTGATATGTAAACCTGCGCAGTACGTCATTGTCGTAAGTCACCGTCTTAATCTTTATTAAAAAATAAATACAACAACAATTACAATGTACCATCATCGTTTGTACTTTTTTCAATATTCTGACAGTGCAAACATGAATCACTATATTATTTGACATACCTCGTATACTATTATAAAAATTTGAAATCTGATGGTCACATTTTAGGTTTCAGACCATGCAGAACTTTTTATGAAGAATAATTTTTTTTCGTAAAGTCAATAATAAAAAAGTTTTCGAACTTTGTTAACATGCGATACATAATTGTGCTGAAAACACTTAACACAAATGAAACGGGAAAAGTGTGCAAATAATGGCGGCAAAACAAAGGAAAAATAGGCAGCTTGCAACAAAATAAAGCTATGAAAACTACACAAATACGAATTAGGGTAAGTAAATAGAATAGTTTCGAGATATATTGCGATACGTCTCACTCTTGTTTCGAACTTCTTGCAGTGAGCAGATTTGTCGCAATATTTCCCGAAACATCTCTAAAACAAATGATCTGTGTTGCAATTAAATGATATATTAATTTTGAATTTTAAAATCATTTTAAAGAAGAGGTTTTAAAAATTATGAAATTTTTAATTAATCAAAAAAATTGATTAGAAATTAAATTTATTAAAAGTAGTTTTGGATTATTGTCCAAATCGTGCTACAAAACTGAATTTAAGATGTTTTGGTAAAAATCGCAAAAAATAGGCTTTGGTTTTTTTTAAAATATCTCAAAAACTATTTGACATTTTTAAAATTTGAAAAAAGATTTAAAAAGAGGAGGAAATTTCCCACCAAAAAGTCCTACTTCCCGGAACTGTAGGACCAATATTTATAATTTTCCCAGACGGTTGAAAATACTTTATTTTTCTACATAAAGAAACAAAAACAAACATGAAAGTAGATAAGCTAAGCCAGTTCTAGACTAAAATAAAAAATAACAGAGATAAGGACAAGATCAAGGTCACGCACCCAATTATCATTTACCTTGACTTTAACCTTGACCTTGACTTTAACTTTGACCTTATCTGAGTCTAGAACTGGCTCTGCTTATCTACTCATGTAATATTTTTTAGGAAAAAATGTATTTATATTTTTTATCGAATTTTATAATTACCTTTAGCTGTAACACTACCATTCTCACATGGTTTTTTTGTCTTTTAAATTAATATAACTCATAAACTAATTGAGATACTATGAAAAAAATTAAGATTTATTTATTGTTTATTAATTAAAGAACAAATTAAATCCAAAATTTAAGCTCTTACCCAATTATTTATTTAATTTAGAGCGCTTATTTATAAAAAGGAATTATCAGGAAATTTAGTTACAGCTAAAGGTATTTAATTATAGAATTCGATAAAAATATAAATAAATTATTTATTTCATCATGTAAAAAATAAAAAAATTTAATTGTTTATTAAATAAACAATGAAAATTTAAAAAAAAAATGGTTCCTTGATGATAATTACAAGTGAAAAAAAAAAATGATTAATTAACATTTGTTTGAATAAAGTCATTTTCAAAATAAAAAGTATGTGGAATATTTATTTTTACTCTTTATTATACTACAGAAATCAGATAGGATCTGTTTAAAGTTCCAAAAAACTATCGATTATTACTCCAGAAACAAAATAAATATACATTATGAACATTTTGTTTTATTAAAGTCATTTTATAAATAAAAAGTATGTGGAAATTTTTGTTTATTTATTATAATACAGAAATCAGATGGGATCTGTTTAAAGTTCCAAAAAAAACTATTGATTATTACTCCAGAAACAAAATAAGTAATACATTATGAACATTTGTTTCATTAAAGTCATTTTAAAAATAAAAAGTATGTGGAATATTTTTTTTTTACTATTTATTATACTACAGAAATCAGATAGAATCTGTTTAAAGTTCCAAAAAACTATCGATTATTAATCCAGAAACAAAATAAATATACATTATGAACATTTTGTTTTATTAAAGTCATTTTAAAAATAAAAAGTATGTGGAAAATTTTTTTTTTACTATTTATTATAATACAGAAATCAGATGGGATCTGTTTAAAGTTCCAAAAAAACTATTGATTATTACTCCAGAAACAAAATAAGTAATACATTATGAACATTTGTTTCATTAAAGTCATTTTAAAAATAAAAAGTATGTGGAATATTTTTTTTTTACTATTTATTATACTACAGAAATCAGATAGAATCTGTTTAAAGTTCCAAAAAACTATCGATTATTAATCCAGAAACAAAATAAATATACATTATGAACATTTTGTTTCATTAGTCATTTTCAAAAAAAAAGTATGTGGAATATGTTTTTTTATGATTTATTATACTACAGAAAATTATACAGTTTCGGGAGGTAGGACCTTTTGTTAGGAAATTTCCTCCTCTTTTTGAATCTTTTCTCAAATTTGAAAAATTTCAAATAGTTTTTGAGATATTTGCAAAAAACCAAACCCTGTTTTTTTTTTAGAACAGAAAACTATTATAAAAAGTCCACACCGCGACATCTTGTAACATTATAATTTCCTTTTAAAATTTAATTCCTAAGATGTCCAAATCGTTTGTTCAAATTTATTTCGACAACATATCTTGAACTACCAGTGTCTGGCTACACATAGCGGTGAGTTATATAAAAAATATCTGAGTAGAAATTATATTTCTACCTTTTGTTAGTTATAAGTTTATTCAATATGGTTTAGTTAGTAATTCCTTTTGTGTTGCTGGAAATACACATTTTATTATTGGAAATTTTAAATTTTCAGTGTTGTAGCTGTATTTGAACACACAGTGTGTAAAAAATATTTGCAATTTTGCTAAATAGTACACCAAGTCAAAATTTGGTGGTTAAATTCGATAAGCTTGCGAAAATAGAAATATAGTGCAGATAGTTATGCCAATAGTAAAGCGAAATATAATTATTTGACATGTCATGTCAAAAAGTTAATAATGCTACGTACCATGGATGTGGGCTGAAGTGCAGCGTGGAAAGCAAAAAGCATTTTTTTTTAATAATAATAATAAAAAGCTAAAAATCTACAAAGTTTTTCATATTTTGTAATAATTTTAACATTTGTTCAAAATTGACAGGGTAATGATGGGGGCGATATTTAGTTATAGCTGCTGTTATCTTAGACATATATTACGTAGTACAAAATATGATAAACTTATAACTACCGTTTTAAATCTCTTTACTATTCTTTTTTTTTGTAAAATAAAATAAAAATTGTTAAACTTATTCACCTATCACTAAAAAAATTAATCAACCTATCTTACTACCACATTTGTTGTTATTAAGTAAGATGATTATAAATGAATAGAAATGAATAGAAATGAATAGAAATGAATAGAAATGAATAGAAATGAATATAAATGAATAGAAATGAATAGAAATGAATAGAACTGAATAGAAATGAATAGAAATGAATAGAAATGAATAGAAATGAATAGAAATGAATAGAAATGAATAGAAATGAATAGAAATGAATAGAAATGAATAGAAATGAATAGAAATGAATAGAAATGAATAGAAATGAATAGAAATGAATAGAAATCAAGAAAAATCAATAGAAATCAATAAAAATCAATAGAATTCAATAGAATTCAATAGAAATCGATAGAAATTGATAGAAATTGATAGAAATTGAAAGAAATTGATAGAAATTGATAGAAATTAATAAAAATTAATAGAAATTGATAGAAATCAATAAAAATTATTAAAAATTAATAGAAATTGATATAAATCAATAAACATTAATAGAAATTGATAAAAATTGATAGAAATTGATAGAAATTTGAAATTTCTTATTATTTTCTTATGAAATCAGTTAGAACATTTATTTTCGTTTTATATTCATCTTACTAAAACTGTAATAATAATAATCTCCCTTATATGTGAAACCCCCTAAGGAAGTAACTATTAAATATGTCATTGCATTCCAAGGCGACTTACAGGTGAGGAACTCTTGAAAATCCTCACCCACCATCATATAAAAACGATTTAAAAAAAATAAAATAACACAAATGAAAATCCTCATCAATGCATTAAACAAATGACTTACCTTGTCCACTTTCATAGAGATCTGCACATCTTGATAGGTGATTTCTACATGTTTAATATTTTTCGCGTAATTTCCTACCAATTTTAATATGTCGGCAGAGATGTATTCTAAAACTGCCACTAGAAATAGCGACACTGTCGAATCAACTTTGTATAGCAAAAGCTCCTATAATAAAAAAAATAGGAATCAAAAAGTATTTTTGTAAAAAAAAAATTTGAAAAAAAAAATTTAAAAAAAAAAAAAAAAATTGGAAAAAAAAATTTTGAAAAAAAAATTTTGGAAAAAAAAAATTTGGAAAAAAAATTTAAAAAAAAAAAAATTTGGAAAAAAAATTTTGGAAAAAAAAATTTGGAAAAAAAAAATTTGTCAAAAAAAAATTGTCAAAAAATTTTTTTGTCAAACAAGTGTGAATGAAAAAAAAATTGATAATGATAATTCATAATTCATTTATAATTAATTCATAATTAATTCATAATTCATTTATAATTAATTCATAATTAATTAATAATTAATTAATAATTAATTAATAATTAATTAATAATTAATTAATAATTAATTAATAATTAATTAATAATTAATTAATAATTAATTAATAATTAATTAATAATTAATTAATAATTAATTAATAATTAATTAATAATTAATTAATAATTAATTAATAATTAATTAATAATTAATTAATAATTAATTAATAATTAATTAATAATTAATTAATAATTAATTAATAATTAATTAATAATTAATTAATAATTAATTAATAATTAATTAATAATTAATTAATAATTAATTAATAATTAATTAATAATTAATTAATAATTAATTAATAATTAATTAATAATTAATTAATTCATAATTAATTCATAATTAATTCATAATTAATTCATAATTAATTCATAATTAATTCATAATTAATTCATAATTAATTCATAATTAATTCATAATTAATTCATAATTAATTCATAATTAATTCATAATTAATTCATAATTAATTCATAATTAATTCATAATTAATTCATAATTAATTGATAATTAATAAGTGTAAATGGTAGAGGGAAATAAAGTAATATAAAAAAATGCAACATTTCGCTATTTTAAAATCGTCCCCTGTTGATGCTAACATTGTGTGCAAAACACATGTCGAGTAATATAGTAGTTAGAAATCAATTTTGAGATTTCTAAATCTTTACCACAATGTCTTAATTATTAACATTTTAAAAAATATAAATATATAGAATTAATAATTAATAGGTAATATAAATTCAGTTTTTTTGTTAATTATTTACCTTCTGTAGCAACGAATGGATTTTGTCAACAGGCAACTGCAATACCGACTTTTTCTTGCCCCTCTCAAGGGCCTCTTGAGCTTCTTTTAATGCCCATTTGTCAATTGGCGTAGGAAATGTATTTTGTACCCTGAATTCAACATCCTGAAAAAAATTAATAATTAATAATTAATAATTAATAATTAATAATTAATAATTAATAATTAATAATTAATAATTAATAATTAATAATTAATAATTAATAATTAATAATTAATAATTAATAATTAATAATTAATAATTAATAATTAATAATTAATAATTAATAATTAATAATTAATAATTAATAATTAATAATTAATAATTAATAATTAATAATTAATAATTAATAATTAATAATTAATAATTAATAATTAATAATTAATAATTAATAATTAATAATTAATAATTAATAATTAATAATTAATAATTAATAATTAATAATTAATAATTAATAATTAATAATTAATAATTAATAATTAATAATTAATAATTAATAATTAATAATTAATAATTAATAATTAATAATTAATAATTAATAATTAATAATTAATAATTAATAATTAATAATTAATAATTAATAATTAATAATTAATAATTAATAATTAATAATTAATAATTAATAATTAATAATTAATAATTAATAATTAATAATTAATAATTAATAATTAATAATTAATAATTAATAATTAATAATTAATAATTAATAATTAATAATTAATAATTAATAATTAATAATTAATAATTAATAATTAATAATTAATAATTAATAATTAATAATTAATAATTAATAATTAATAATTAATAATTAATAATTAATAATTAATAATTAATAATTAATAATTAATAATTAATAATTAATAATTAATAATTAATAATTAATAATTAATAATTAATAATTAATAATTAATAATTAATAATTAATAATTAATAATTAATAATTAATAATTAATAATTAATAATTAATAATTAATAATTAATAATTAATAATTAATAATTAATAATTAATAATTAATAATTAATAATTAATAATTAATAATTAATAATTAATAATTAATAATTAATAATTAATAATTAATAATTAATAATTAATAATTAATAATTAATAATTAATAATTAATAATTAATAATTAATAATTAATAATTAATAATTAATAATTAATAATTAATAATTAATAATTAATAATTAATAATTAATAATTAATAATTAATAATTAATAATTAATAATTAATAATTAATAATTAATAATTAATAATTAATAATTAATAATTAATAATTAATAATTAATAATTAATAATTAATAATTAATAATTAATAATTAATAATTAATAATTAATAATTAATAATTAATAATTAATAATTAATAATTAATAATTAATAATTAATAATTAATAATTAATAATTAATAATTAATAATTAATAATTAATAATTAATAATTAATAATTAATAATTAATAATTAATAATTAATAATTAATAATTAATAATTAATAATTAATAATTAATAATTAATAATTAATAATTAATAATTAATAATTAATAATTAATAATTAATAATTAATAATTAATAATTAATAATTAATAATTAATAATTAATAATTAATAAATAATTAATAATTAATAATTAATAATTAATAATTAATAATTAATAATTAATAATTAATAATTAATAATTAATAATTAATAATTAATAATTAATAATTAATAATTAATAATTAATAATTAATAATTAATAATTAATAATTAATAATTAATAATTAATAATTAATAATTAATAATTAATAATTAATAATTAATAATTAATAATTAATAATTAATAATTAATAATTAATAATTAATAATTAATAATTAATAATTAATAATTAATAATTAATAATTAATAATTAATAATTAATAATTAATAATTAATAATTAATAATTAATAATTAATAATTAATAATTAATAATTAATAATTAATAATTAATAATTAATAATTAATAATTAATAATTAATAATTAATAATTAATAATTAATAATTAATAATTAATAATTAATAATTAATAATTAATAATTAATAATTAATAATTAATAATTAATAATTAATAATTAATAATTAATAATTAATAATTAATAATTAATAATTAATAATTAATAATTAATAATTAATAATTAATAATTAATAATTAATAATTAATAATTAATAATTAATAATTAATAATTAATAATTAATAATTAATAATTAATAATTAATAATTAATAATTAATAATTAATAATTAATAATTAATAATTAATAATTAATAATTAATAATTAATAATTAATAATTAATAATTAATAATTAATAATTAATAATTAATAATTAATAATTAATAATTAATAATTAATAATTAATAATTAATAATTAATAATTAATAATTAATAATTAATAATTAATAATTAATAATTAATAATTAATAATTAATAATTAATAATTAATAATTAATAATTAATAATTAATAATTAATAATTAATAATTAATAATTAATAATTAATAATTAATAATTAATAATTAATAATTAATAATTAATAATTAATAATTAATAATTAATAATTAATAATTAATAATTAATAATTAATAATTAATAATTAATAATTAATAATTAATAATTAATAATTAATAATTAATAATTAATAATTAATAATTAATAATTAATATTATTTTGACTTACCTGTACAGTGTGCGGACTTGGTTTTGCACAAAGCATAGCAAGAAGACGCAGGCATAGACTTTCCACATATTCTAAGGCTTCTTCCCTTGCTCCTAGAGAAGGATGTACTTGCTCTAACACCTGAAAACGAATATATTTAGAGCATTCTACTTCATAGTTTAATATAATAAAACAGAGAAGTAAACAATTGTTAGATAAATCAACTTTAAATGAAAATTAGGTTAGCAACGGATTTCAACTGACTTTGTTAGATCTTTACAGACCAATGTCTCTTAAAGTGTGCCAAAGGAGCTCCGCAAAAATAACAGCCATAATAAAAAAATACTATGAGGATATGAGGAAGTTACTAAAAAAAAAATTAGACAAAAAAATAATTTTGCTCAAAAAAAAACTGTAGACCAAAAAAATTTGACGACAAAAATGGCAAAAAAAAAAAATTTGGTCCCAGAAAAATTTTGCCCAAAAAAAGTAAAAAAACTGTTGTCCAAAAAAATTTGATGACAAAAATAGCCCAAAAAAAATTTGATACCAAAAAAATTTTGTTTAAAAAAGTAAAAGAAATTGCCAAAAATATTGTAAAAAAAATTTTGTCCAAAAAAAAATTTCAAAAAAATTGTGCAAAAAAATTGGCCAAAAAGGACTAAAAAATAATTTTGGCCAAAAAAATTGGATCCAAGAAAAATGGGTCAAAAAAAAAATTGCCAAATAAATTGGAATAAATCTGTTATTTACTTTTGGAGAAGAAAATTCTTCAAATAAAAGTTACTTCTAATTTTATTCTCTATAATTTTTGTTCTATACAAAATTTTCCTAAAATGGCCCGTATTCCAGATATTTTAGAAAATGTGCAAATTTCGAATTTTGAAGAAAACTCAAAAACGGATAAAGAGAAAAACACCAAATTTGAAACTTAAGCTTTATTCCGGCCTGCGATGAACTGATTAAATTTTGGACAGAGTCGGAACATCTAGGGGGTCATTTTTATATTTTATGGAATATATCTGTTATTTACGTTTTGAGAAGAAAATTCTTCAAATAAAAGTTACTTCTAATTTCATTCTCTATAATTTTTGTCCCATATAAAATTTTTATAAAATGGACCGTATTCGAGATATTTGAGAAAAAGTGTAAATTTCGAATTTTGAAGAAAACTCAAAAACGGATAAAGAGAAAAACACCAAATTTTAAACTTAAGCTTTATTTCGGCCTGCGATGAACTGATTAAATTTTGGACAGAGTCGGAACATCTAGGGGGGTACTTTATAGGGGGTTATTTTTATATTTTATGGAATATATCTGTTATTTACGTTTGGAGAAGAAAATTCTTCAAATAAAAGTTACTTCTAATTTTATTCTCTATAATTTTTGTCCTATATAAAATTTTCTTAAAATGGACTGTATTTGAGATATTTAGGAAAATGTGTATATTTCCAATTTTGAAGAAAACTCAAAAACGGATAAAGAGAAAAACACCAAATTTTAAACTTAAGCTTTATTCCGGCCTGCGATGAACTGATTAAATTTTGGACAGAGTCGGAACATCTAGGGGGGTACTTTATAGGGGGTTATTTTTATATTTTATGGAATATATCTGTTATTTACGTTTGGAAAAGAAAATTCTTCAAATAAAAGTTACTTCTAATTTTATTCTCTATAATTTTTGTCCTATATAAAATTTTCTTAAAATGGACTGTATTTGAGATATTTAGGAAAATGTGTATATTTCCAATTTTGAAGAAAACTCAAAAACGGATAAAGAGAAAAACACCAAATTTTAAACTTAAGCTTTATTCCAGCCTGTGATAAACTGATTCGAATTTGGACAGAGTCGGAACATCTAGGGGAGTACTTTATAGGGGGTCATTTTTATATTTTATGAAATATATCTGTTATTTACGTTTTGAGAAGAAAATTCTTCAAATAAAAGTTACTTCTAATATTATTCTCTATAAATTATGTCCCATACATAATTTCTCTAAAATGGACCGTATTCGAGATATTTGAGAAAAAGTGTAAATTTCGAATTTTGAAGAAAACTCAAAAACGAATAAAGAGAAAAACACCAAATTTTAAACTTAAACTTTATTCTAGCCTGTGGTAACCAGATTAGATTTTGGACAGAGTCGGAACATCTAGGGGGGTACTTTATAGAGGGTCATTTTTATATTTTTTTAAATATATGTTATTTTCATTTGGAGAAAAAAATTCTTCAAATAAAAGTTACTTCTCATTTTATTCTCTACAATTTTTGTTCTATACAAAATTTTCCTAAAATGGCCCGTATTCGAGAAATTTAACAAAATGTAAAAAATTCAAATTTTTACGAAAATTCTTCAAATAAAAGTTGTTTATCATAAACATTAATCACAAATAGTAAATAAATCACCAGTTAGTATTTTTATCAGCAATTGATTATTGTTAGTCATCTTCTAAAGTAAAATATTCACTAATTTTATGACTAATTCAGCATGTTCAATTTAACATACTCAAAAAAAAAAAATCACTTAAAATTATATACCACAATTCTAGGAAGAAATAATATAAACAAAAACATGTAAAAACAGTTTGTAATTAATAATAAAAACAAATTAATCAAGTTGTATTCAAATAGGATAAAGTTATCAATGATTAATGCGAAAGAAAAGTAGAAAATGGTCAAAAAGCATCAATAAAAACAATAATAGAATCCCTAATGACATGCATATCTATATAGAAGCAGATTTAATCCAACAGTAAAGAAAATACCTAAAAAAATCATAACAGAGCTAGAAAAACCACCAACCCTTATATTTGTAACCGAAAGAAGCAACTGCTCTATTATTAGGTATTAAAGTAATAATTCACTCTTTAGATTACAAAATGGCAACAGTTTTGAATGAAAAAAGATTCTATATCAACAATTCTTACCTAATTTTTATACATTCAAATACAACATCATTGGGTTGCTTAAATAATATCATTTTATAGGATTTACAATACTAAGGTATTGTAAAAAGTATTGCAAAAGAAGAATCTGTATCAGAATCAGCATGGAATTTAATAAAACATCATTTATTTAAAGTCTAAAATACTCTAATAATGGTTAATGAAAAATCATATTTTGGTACCTACAAATACCTATTTTAATCAATTTGATTGTCATTTTTTTTAATTTCTATATTCATAATAGATCTGTCAATATAATTTTGAAACAAAAGTAATCTTAAATACTTTAATAATGTATTCATATACATTCTAAATATATCTAAACCCTACATATTGTTCATTTCAAATTATTATTGCTAGGTAAATGATATTTAGTCTGACAAGTACATATACCTATAAAATAGTGACTTTTGAAACATAATACTTAAAAATTCTTTAATATAAACCCATATTTGTGTTAGATGAGGGCTTTAAACTCATAAAGGTATCAACACTATCGACTATTTGACTCACTTTTTTTAATGCAGCAGTCAGGAGGCCTTTCCATTTTGCAGAATTTTCTTCCGAATTAAAGTCGTAAATATTATCCCCAGATAGACCAGTATTCATATTTTATCGAAAAGGAATAAAATTAAATCCAAATAGCACTTTTACTAAGGGCCACTCGCGACTATCACGACATACATTGTCACTTTAGACGAATACAAATAAAAATAGAAAAACAAAAACAACGATTTTCGTTAGCGTTTACGTCCAGTCGCACCTTATCACCATCATTCGCGGTTAATTTTGTATCTATCGATGAGAAAATCGCACTTTTTTGACCGAAAGTGGACAAAATACCATCACTTGATTTTCGCCATATTGGTTTTCTACTTTTAACTGTTGTTCTATCTCTGTTCTTCGTAGGAGACGGGTATGTATCTGTCTCGCTTCGGAGAACACAAAGCAACCACTGCGCACAGTATGCGCTTAATGCGCGGTTGCCGTACTTTGAAAATTAGTTAGGAAATTGAGATATTTTTTATTCTTTAAAAACGATTGCATCTATAATATCAAAATGTGTTGGTAAACGCATAACGCATGAACGGCTGGACCGATTTCGCTAATTCTTTTTTTGTTGTGTTTGTTATTATCAGGAGAAAGTTCTTATAAAAGAAAAAATTAAGAAAAATACGCGGAAAATTAGAAAATTTCTATATATATATATATATATATATATATATATATATATATATATATATATATATATACTCGACCAGCGTATCATGTGACATCCAGCAAAAATTTTGACTTTGTGACATCCACCCTTTACAAAGACTTTAGGAAAAAAATAAAAATATGACTTCTTTTAATTTAAAAAATATTATCACTGAGCGAAAAATATTACAACCATACACATTTTAAAAAAATAAAACGTCCTATCGTTGTGAGATCCAAAGTATACACGGTATATATTTTTATTAACAACACTTTGTGACATCCAGAAAAACCTTGCATCTTGTGACATCCAGTTGTTACGTCACAGTATACCATTTCTACAAGAAAATTGCTATTCTTGTAACATCCAGCAAGTATATAAATACATTTTTGAATTGGGCACCTTATTACATCCTAAAAACTTAACACGTTTAACGCCAAAGCACACCCTCAAATTCTATGATTTTTATTGTTTTTTTATTCCAATGTGATTTCTTTAGTTGTTTTGATAAAATAATTTATTTCATTTTTAAATAATTACTGAGGCCGTTCCTATGGGGCCTCAGTATTGCATTCGTGCAGACGAAAACATTTTCTTACCCCCATTTTTTAAACTTTTTTTTATGTTTCCGATCATTCTGAGTCCGAAAATGCAAAAAAAATTTTTCGTCTGGTCGTCTGTGTATATGTATGCCGGCACAATAACTCTAGAACGAAAGTTCTAATTGACTTGCAGTTTTGATCTTCTTGAATAATTCTTTCTAACTTAGAACCCTATTGATTTTCAGAATTTTCGGTTCGTTCTAACTACTTTAATATCACTTTTCTTAAAATCCGCTTATGCATTTCTTATGTGACAATTTTAGGAATTCCAATTATTTCTAACGTCAACATCCCTAACATTCTTTACATTTCATAAATTGCAAACATTCTCTAACGACCTGTCAAACAACAGCTGTTGATAGTAAAAGTGAAATTTCTAAGGCGGGTTGCGACCTTCATATTTGCAAATATAGCCATTTTGGAGGCATTTTTATTCAAAATTAGTCGCCAAGCCTACCAATTATGAAAAATATATAAGCAGTTTCTTAAAAATTACTTTTTTATGGGGGTGCTAACTTAAGCGTACTACTATTTCGCCCCTAGCCACAAAAACACATTCATCAAATTTATTGGCAACCCCAATAATTAACCGGCTATTTTATTTGGCCAAAATCAGAATAATGCTTGGTTATGCCTGTCAGGTATCAAGATGTCAACTATGATGTGGGAATGGCTCTTAAATGTAAAATTATTTAAAAATGTATGCTTCTTTTGATATTTGTTGCAAATAATTTGTAGTGTATCTCAATTAAGGCTTTCCATAAATAAATGTGCAGCAAGACAGATATTATAATGTTCTTATACAAAGCACTTTTTTATTAAACAGTGAGCACCATAAGTCTTACCCCCCCCTATCTAACTCATTACTGGAGTCTTGTTAGGAAAATCGCCGAGACACGTCGATTTTTGATTTCTACAATGTACATTTTTGTATGAATAGTTTACCCTTAATTTCATCCCTTACTGGAGAGGAGCAACCCTTTCGAAAAATTTAAATGGCATGGGGTGGTGAGTGATAGCTCATTTGAAAGAGGGTTTTATTCTCTATTCAACCGTGTAAAAAAAATTGAAATTTGCTTCATTAATTCTCGACTAATTGTTGTTTCAGAATAACGGAAATTAACGTAGCGCACTCATCCTTATAATTAAAATTCGGCATTGCATGATTTCGGTTTTGGTTCAGACGTGAAGTAAGACTTTTTGCCATTAGAAGGTCACTGTTAGTCTAGTTGCTTTCCTATTTTGTGAGGTTTTGTTATTTTTAAACATTAATAAATCAACACGTAATGAAGCAAATTTCAAAATTCACTGTATAAAAGAGAGGTAGGATATAATGCTGGTTTACATATTCAACCAGCGAATTGTAAATAATAATTAGTAAACTTCTTGAGGTTACTTTTGAATACATTTATTGTTTTTTTTTTAATTTCTGTTGACAATCAATTGAATTTTTTACACCTTTAATAAAAATTATATTTTGGGAACTTTTAGTGATGGCTTGCCGTACATGAAAGTCAGATTGGCTTCTTGTATTATAATTGTGATATTGCGAATTATATTGAATTTTTTCTAATAGATCTGATGCGATGGTACTATGTCATTTTTATTTTATAAATAAATATCAGTCATGTACTGAATATAATTTTTAACTGAAAGCCAATTTATTTCTTTTAACATAGTTGCAGTACTCATCCTTCTATCCTTTATGTCCTTTATTAGAATATAAATAGGCAAAATAAGGAGCCCAAATATTTTACATAAGCAGGCTTAAGACGTAAAAGGGCCAATTATTATTGGAAAAATTGCTCGAACAAGTTTTTAAACCCTAATCAAAAGGCGATATAGAATGGTTTTAAAAATCAAGGCTTGTGAAAATCATCACATGGATAAACCTAAGTAATGCCAATGTTTCACAAAACAAAAAATTCAACGTCCTAATACTACTATAGGCTTTCGGTCTTTCGTTCCAAGTTAAATCATTTCTCGTTTTTGTTACGCTACGAGTTTACCCTTGTGGGCTTCAGTCTCGATAAGGTTTAGATACACTGGCCCAAAATATATTATTAAACGAGCAATTTATGGTAGCCATTATTCACGCAGGGTGACGTTTGCGTGAGCCCTAGGCGAGTCTAATACTATACTTTGTACCATTATACCATTATGGTTTCTTTATTAAATAAAAGTTAAGTGTAGAATGGAAAGTTTTTATTAAACATAGGTAACTAACTGTTGTTTTTTCAACCTTTCAATTTTCCGATTTTCAGATTTTTTGAATTTCTGATTTTTCGATCTAGAAAATATCGTTATAAAAAGTATCGCCCAACTTTAGTTATCTACCGGAAATTGCCAGAATTAGAAGAGAGTGAATTATCATAATTCACTCTAGTGATATATGGGTACCATATGCTTTTAGTTAGGAGGTAGAATATTGATTTACTATTAAGTGGTCGTGGACAAATTAGTCTCCGATTGAAGTAACTTTTTAATCTTTTTTTTTTTGGTATGTGGATATTCCTTATAGAGATTGGGTACAGGTTCTCCCTTTTCCAATAGTTTGGGACTCCCGGATCATTAATGCAAGTCAGGCTTATCATTTACCCACTAAACGCACCCCTGAGCAGGTAATATCTTTTACTTGTCCGTTGGGACTACTTTATTAATTTGTTTGAGTATCTATCGACCTCGTATGGTTGATTCTCCGGTCTCAAGTGCATTAACACGGCCAGTTGGCGAACCTAAAGATAAATCCAGCGGTGTTTATTATTTTTGCGCACAGACTATTATACTAGAAACATTTTTAACTTCAAATTATTTTTGAGTTACACAAAAAAGTACATTTCTTTATTAGTTAAGTTCGTTTCCATATTTAAAGAGACCAAAAAAAACTAAAATTAGTCATGTGCAAATTGTGCAGATGAATTTGCTGCTAAAACATAACGTCTAAATTGTTATTTTTTAGCATTTTGGAGATAAAAAATTAAAATAAAGGGGGTTTTAGTAACTTTATCACGTTATATTGAGGATAATTTAATCCTTTATGATGTTGGTACGACATGCAGTGATTAATTAACAAGTAATAATTATGATATTTGGTTCTAAATACGAACTTTTAAGTACATTTTATTGTAGTGTACACGCATACAAGTACCAACAAAATATGTAACTTCTAAAAATGTGCTTAGTTTTAAAATAATATAAAAAATAATTAATTTTAGTAATGAAAATCATCTACTCAAAAATTAAAAGCATATGATTAAATTTTTTTTTGTGCTTTTTCAAATATGGATACAAATTTAACGACTTGTAGTGTGTTCTTATAAGGATGGACAAATTTATAATTTTTTTTTTAAAAGATGGAACTGCATTGTGTTTCTTATTAATGCCTTAATAGATTATGGTAAGTTGTAGAGAATACATGTGCCAAATTTCAATAACATAATAGCGGTTGGTAAGTTATGAAACAAGAAAGAAATTGGCAAAGTTAATAAAACTACCTGTATCTCGGTTATAAAGTAAGAATGTTTGGAATCATATCAGAAGCATAAAAAAACTAAGTATTAAAAAAAAAGAGTGAAACTTCTTAGATTAATTCACTCTAAAATAAAAAAAGACAAATAAAATCCGCGTACATCAATATTTATCGCACAGCTACTTGAATATACTATTAAGGTTATAACTCTAAACGGCGATGCACGAACGACGATCGTTTGCAGTCGTTTTTTTGAATTAGCTCATCATATTTTTTATGTATTAACTTTGATTTATATAAATTTATTTAAATTTATTTAAATTTATTTAAATTTATTTAAATTTATTTAAATTTATTTAAATTTATTTAAATTTATTTAAATTTATTTAAATTTATTTAAATTTATTTAAATTTATTTAAATTTATTTAAATTTATTTAAATTTATTTAAATTTATTTAAATTTATTTAAATTTATTTAAATTTATTTAAATTTATTTAAATTTATTTAAATTTATTTAAATTTATTTAAATTTATTTAAATTTATTTAAATTTATTTAAATTTATTTAAATTTATTTAAATTTATTTAAATTTATTTAAATTTATTTAAATTTATTTAAATTTATTTAAATTTATTTAAATTTATTTAAATTTATCTAAATTTATCTAAATTTATCTAAATTTATCTAAATTTATCTAAATTTATCTAA